GGCGTGCCGGCCGTGTATTAATCGTCAGATTGATATATTTGCGAGGTGCTGGAGTACTAATATGATATGTGGCAGTAACACCCAAAGACTTGAGCTTGTTGCGCCGTCTGGGTCGACTGCGAGATCTGGGTCGGTTGTTGCGATTGCAGTAGCCATCTTTGTGACCAACAGTACGGCATCGACGGCATTTATGCTGTTTGAATGGGTACAAGTTTGCAAAATGCCAGGAGCCACAGTACCAGCAGGCTGATGGTGGTTTATGTTGAGGATGAAGCGGTGCGGTTGATGTCGACGGTACTGGATGCACCGCATGCACTTCTGCTGCATTTTGGCTGCCAGACTGCACCAAGACGGTATCGTTGTGAATGTTGATTAAACGCTGATATTCTTCACCGGCGTCTTTCAAAGTCATTCGTGGATCTTGTTCCAGACGATTTAATAGACGTGTGCGTATATCAGCAAATTTGGGAGACTGCAAACCACAAATGAAAATCAATACCTTGAACTGGTCTTCTGAGAGTGATTTCAATTTAAAACGTTCACACGTGCGATTGACTATACCCAACTGAGTATGGATATCATCATTTTCGTTCAAAACTAGTTTCATGCAATGATATCGAATGTTGAATAACGATCTCTGATCACCAAACTGATGACGAAGGATATGGACAGTTTCATCGAATGATCTTTCACTGGGCTTCTGTGGGAGAATTAAGTTGCAGTATTTATCTAACTCATCTGCTCCCAATTTACGAAGTAGAAGCCGTACTTTCCAGGCATCACCTTTATCCGCAAAGTCTACTCGAAATAGGTCTTCATATCTGCGAAACCAGGTATCAAATGTTACGTTCGCATCTGGATCATAAACGAATTCTGAGATGGTACTACCAATGCTGTCGTTGGCTGTAGATGAATCGGCAGGTCGTGATATCTGTAGACCAGCAAGCATTTCCATCAATTTTAGCTGCTGTTCCATTAGTTTCTCTAAACGCAGTGGGTCCATCTTCAGCAAACCCGTCGCCAAATTTGTTATGTATGTGAATATGAGGACCTTGTAGACTACGAGCGAATCTAACTAATGCGCTGGCTAATCTGTCTTAATCGCGCGTCAACAACAACAACAATAATACCGCCGGGCACGCAAGACAAATAAAAGAGAAGACTGGACGTTGATATGAGAGCTTTTACTGTCTCAAACAACAGTCGAAATGTTAAACAACAACTCCGTATTTATACAGTTGGGAAAAATCAATGTCACATTTTAAAATATTAACAAACCATGGGAATTCAGTAATTTAAATCAATAATCACGCAGATGCGTGAAATCAATGATTATGCTAGTGTGGGAAATAAATACTGAATATTAATGATTCACCTGTGTATATATTACTTTCCTTTCCAGGTGGGACTAGTCTTGAACAAGAAGCAAACAAAGCATGAGATTCAACTGACAAACATCGACAAAGTGATGGACGTACACCAAATAAGCATAAGTAGACAACTAGTAGGCAATCGAGTGAGTTGTAGCGGTGGATTATTCCCCAGGATTATTAGCCACAACGTTCATCAATCAACACTGGATCCTGACCCTTATTGTTCAGGTAGATTTCCTCAAATGAAGGCTCACTGTCAAGCGTCCACACCATTTGGCACACCATCGTGTAACGTTCGGCCGTTCATACGCGATCCCCAGCAGTTAAGCCCACACTACGATTTAGCCCCGAAATATACTTCTTAATTCAGATGATAAATTCTGGTGTTCTACTCTGTCTTTGGTCTCCACGGTACGAATACCATAGAAGTTGTGGCTAACAGATCTTGGGTCAGTATATATCGTACTATCCGTGAACGTCAACACTCTTGGTCTCTAAAATCCCTCAACCTTACGTCTAGCACCGAAACAGTCTGCGGTGTCTTATCTAGAGATCGTTTGCACACTTTAGATGGTCTTCCATGGTGACAGTCAACTGAAAGCAAAAGTTACGCTCTGTGACATTTGAGAGGCTTTGTGACGTGTCGTAATACGAAATTATTTGAACTACCAGAGATCACCTATCTGCTAGTGACTTAGTAAAATGGGTTTTTTTATATTGGAGATTCACTTATTGTTGTTGTTGACGGTTATAGCCCTACCCAGTCTCAAACTGTACATGCAGTGCACGTCGGCGATATTGGCTTACGGGAGCACATTCCGTTCACTTGAAGGGTTTATAGCTACGGAAATTAGTCAGTCATGGGCTCTTAATGTTCACAGCTATACTAATAATCGTATTCGCCTTACGCGTCAAATACAACCATAACCAAGCCTTGATCAGGGCGGAAAAGTATTACTGGGCTTGGGATTTGAAGATGCTACACACCTCTGTATGCATCGTGATGTTGTTTGGAAGTGTCTGTAGACTCCTTACAACGGACCATTCAAAGATATATGTAATGAAGGAGGCATTTCGTCACCGACCGAATATAGCTTCAATATGCAGTAGGCGTTGTTCGTTAAAAAGCAGCCTTATTAGGTGCGGAATCACTGCACTCTACATCGTCGCTACTGGAAATAACCTTTCCACTAGACCACGAACGAGATTCAAGTACTTGCGAAATTCTTGGACTATCTAGGAAAGCACGAGATAGCCTCTACATGCAATAATAGGCATGTGTGCTGACTTAAACGGTGTGTGTATTTTTTTACTACAGACACGTTGAAAATTTTATTTCCTTACATTTCGCAAGTACTTTACCCACATGCCCAAAAATCTATTTGGAGGAAGTTGGTTTTCGTTCACACTTATCATTATATACTTAAATTTTAGTTTTTGTGGTATAGTATTAACGAGATTATGAGGACCGCATACTATCGGCTTTCAGCGGTGCCAACTAGGTCCTCTCAGGCCGCTGGTATACCGATTTCCCGTTGCGCACTCCACTCGCATAATAAATGTTGGTAGGGAAAAGGGGTAGGGCTTCAATACTTTTTCATCAGTGCGAGGGTTGCATCTAGACGCTTTGTTTCGTTTCCTCATAGGTGCACATCGTTACAATAGCTTAGGAGGCCAAGTTACCTAAGCTGCGCCTGTCGTAGGGGGTATCATGCGTTTGCGTTACATTTGCCTCCCAAGTTTCAGGGTCATTGGTGCCAGCCAAAAATTCTATGGGAAGATAACCCTCTAATGCACCTTCTGTACCATCAAAACGCAAATAAGTCAACAATAAATAGATTTCGTTGAATTACTTAACAGGCTTTCAGCTGTCGTACGGATATCCAAGGCGTTTTAATTTTTTTTGAAACACGTACACATCGTTTTATGCTTGCTGATATGCATATTCTCAGAGTCCCTAGTGGAGCCACTTTGCCGGATAAGTTCGCAGAATTGGTTGTTACCACCAAATATTCTTAACATTTATCACACTAAAATGCATTGCTTTTCAGTGCATATTTCCAAGCAACTGACCAATTTTGATTCGTCTCTTGTTACCGGTAGTTTGTGAAAGACACAAATTTGATTGGTACTTGAACACACACCGTGTTTTGAATAGCTGATAAAGTGTAAAACATTGACACCACAATCAGTACGTTTTAGACCGTTCAAAATGCATACTCCAGTAGCTATATTTTATAACATCCACGAACGGGTATGTGTAAAATAAAGTATCACAGCTGATAAGATAATAACAAGCATTTCGGGCTGTTTTGACAGCAGAAAGCTGTGCAATAGGACTTTTATATGTGAGTTCACATAGTTACAATTATGATTTAATTGAATACAGTAACGAATGGAGGTTAAGAGAGAAACATCCCAATTCATCCGAAAGTTGTCTAGTTACCCCTGGTTATCAGTGACTTCCTGACTGAAATCAGTCCTTGATCAAACTACGATATTATAAAAATGTAAATTACAGGGTTCACAGTTGCAGTTAGACTTATAGACAATCATGTATCTCCTGGAAAGCTACCGTACATTATGTTTTAATAAGCTGCTCTTGTCATTATCATACCTTGTTTTGATTATTTGACTGATATCAGTTTGATATACGATATGATGATATTAGATAGTTGCAGGCAATCGACAAAGGCCTTGGACCTAGATTTCGTGCTAGTTGGTACTCATCAGCAAGGCGTACCTGCAACTTTGAAGGAACTCATGTCCCTTCTGAGGTTCGAACCCGCGACACCCACTGCTACAGTCAGAGACGTTGCCACTCAGCTAATCGGGGTCGCGATTGACCTCCTGTAGGACTGCAGGGGTTATTTTGATTGGACACTAGTAACTAGTGCGATATGTCTAGTTCTTTTTTTCTGGTGCTGACTGAATTCTGTCAGTCAGGTTTGCAATGTGGCCATCATTCTAGGTAGCACGCCATCACTATGCAAATTGATTTGATGATATTAGATAGTTGAAGTCAATTGGCAATACGATATGCAAGTTTTGATACTGTTGAACTAAACAGCTACTTTTATAACCTAAATATCTGTCACTTACATATACTACTGTAACATTTGATGTAAAATAGTTAAAGGTACTTCTATATACCTGAATTAGTATGTTATATTTAATTTTTGATAAATTTACATCAGATAAGATCAAAAGCTAAAGATTAAATTATCAAAAAGATAAATATTTTAGACAGTTACAAGGAAGTTTTCGCAACATTAATTGAATATTCTTTAGTTCATGATTTGTAATGTATATATATAAGGCTTAAATGTGACCACTTTATTGTTAATAGTTGAAAGTTAAAGTACTAAATGCATATAATCATTCAGACAACATTTATAAAATGAAGCATTGAGAATGAATTCATCCTAATTGAAATATATAAATATGTAATACATAGATACATTGGCGTAAAGAATGTTTTTATATAAAATGGAAAATTGAAACATTGCATAGGACAAGTTTAAACAAAACAGTATCATAATAATATTGCACATATTTCCTATACAAAAGTGTAAAAAATAAATGTATATTTAATTTGACATTGTATCTTGAAATCTCAATTTTGGATTAAACTTCAGCAATTGGAATCTGAAAAAGGCATAAACGATAACTATGATATGAAAAAAAGTAATGATACACTGATCAATAATTTTACAAAGAGATGCACTAATAACTATAGGAGAAAGTAGGTTGACCAAGACAGCGTCAGTCTTAAACTATGATGATCAAATGAGTTAGAGCTACAGTTGTAAACAAAAATGACTTCACAATAATAAAAGTAGCTTGCCAAATAATGGTAATCTAATCATTGAATAGCTGATTTGCTTTTAGGATTACCCTGATTAATGATTAACAATAAGTGTTGATGAATGTAGTTCATAAAATCGAAATTTCATACACTTGTTCACCTTAATCAATATGAATAAAGCAAGAACAACAATTTTTTCAGAATATAATGGTACCATCATTTACTTCGTTGGCTTCTCATCAACTGCTTACAGCCCAAAGTCATTATTGAGTATATCTACAGAGACCATTTTAACACACTTGCACAGAGTTCATTTTTATACAAAAATCGATCAATATATGCATTCAATAATAATAATATGTACGCTAATCATAAACACTTTATCCCACAACAATAATGATCATACATAATGGAAACGTTCGGCATTACTTAATGAGATGAAAGAGAGGTGAAAATATCCAGTTACCAGGGCAAAGAAAGACTGATAACCGCTTCTTTCTGAACGTATAAACTGGGTTTCAGACGCTTGATAGAGATGGCTTCGGCAAACTTAAGGTGAACTGAACTCTTTTGCATATTGATAATTTTGAATGATCTTGTGACGTCCACCTCATGACCCATGTCAATGAGATGCCTGGTGATGGCACTGTTTAAAGCATTTGTTCCCTTTAGACATAGTATTTTTCGCACATGTTCAGAAAATCGTAGATATGCTCTCCTTTCTGTTCTTCCAATGTGACTGCTTCCGCAGGTTCGTGTAAATTTCTATATACAGTTGGAGTTAACATGAGAAGGGCATCTTTTGACTTTTGATTACATCAAAGAGCATGTTGTTTGATAGACGGGAACTAGCTAAGCTTCAGCATAGGCTTTGCCTAGAGACGTCCTCAATCTTTTGTTATCAACTGCTGTAATATTTTCACCTTTAAAATCAAATTGAATGTAGGTGGGCATTTTTACCACTGTGATTTGCTTGATATTTGAACAGAAAGAAGGACATACTTCCGATTTTCTGAACATGTACGAAAAAGACTATGTCTAAAGGGAACAAAGGCTTTAAACAGTGCCATCGCCAGGCATCTCATTGACAAGGGTCATGAGGCGGACGTCACAAGATCGTTCAAAATTATCAATGGGCAAAGGAGTTCAGTTCACCTTAAGTATGCCGAAGCGATCTCCATCAAGCGTCTGAAACCCGATTTATGCGTCCAGAAAGAAGTGGTTATCAGTCTTTCTTTGCCCTGGTAACTGGATATTTTCACGTTTCCATTGTGTATGATCATTATAGTTATGGGATAAAGTGTTTATGATTAGTGTACATATTATTATTATTACTGTGTGCATACATTGATTGATTTTTGTATGAAAATGAACTGTGTGTAAGTAGTTTCTGTAGATATACTTATTAATGACTTTGGGCTGTAGGCAGCTGATGAGAAGCCAACAAAATAAATCGTAGTACCATTATATTTTGCGAAAATTGTTGTTCTTACTTTATTCAAAATCTGAGAATCTTACATACAGGCCATTGATTTCATCCAGTTTTGCTCTTACATGCCGCCTAATTTTCTATAAGCTAACTCATACTCCGGTCAGCGTGTTTTGTCTCATAAGATAAATTGAATGCTAAGTCTTAACATCTATAAAGGATGAAATAATTCAGTGTGAAGATTCCAAGGGCATTATTACTTCATATTTGTTTAACAGAAAGGGGAAGAATGAAAATTAAGTCCTCACAATAATTACACGACAAGGTGATGACAGAATTAAAAAAAACTAATTCCAATTATCTCCGTTTAAATTAACTGTCTGAACAGTTAATTACGAATCATAATGAACATAATTCGTGATACCGGTGCACTTAGCAGATGAGCTGTTTAACTGAGACACTATTAAAGTATCTTAATTTCAGTATTTCATTTTTCGTGTGCATATCATCAATATATGTACAAATATGTGTGTAAATCGTTTATAGATGGCTGCCATATGAAAGTATAAAAATTAGTGAGAGATAATACTTAGTTTAACTAACCTTTTCATCTGCCTTACAGTGTTTATGACGATGATGTGTACAATGGTTACTATGATGTGGTTGTCGATTTGTTGAAGTATTATTAGACAGTGAAGGTTTGGCTTCAGGTGAAGACAAGGATACAGATGGTTCTGCATTTTCTGGTAAACAGAAACCTTCACCATTCAATTTATTCACTCGACTTGAACTGGATGAAGGTAATTCCTTTGCATACAATCTAATATAATCTTCTTCATCAGTATGTTTACATTTTTTATCCTTTTTGATATCATCATGAGGACAATCTGGTATTGTATGAGTTTGCTGCACATTTTGATTTGCTTCTATAGAATAACCTACAACATTGAAGATAGAATATATATCAAACATAAAATACACGGGAAGCACAACATAAAAAAGCGCAATACTGTATAAATTATGTAGCTGTGGGGTAGACGTTTTAGTTTTGATGACAGTTTACATCAGTTTACGGGACTAATATTTACAGGAATGTGGATAAAAAAACTCGTTTATTTCTTTACGTCTTCAAAAGCAGAAAAGCCTCAAAATAAAATGTGCACGTATTATTACAATAAGCGTGTACTTCTTGCTTTGACGATGTTCAGTGACATACGTTTCATGAGAATTCGCAAGTGTGGTTTGATTTCAAGTAAGAAATCACATAAATTAGAGAGCTATTAGAAAACAAGACGTGCTGAACAGTTGTTTAGTCCTGGTTTGCTACTCCTCAGCAGTACCCATGACCCTACCAGAGATCCTACTCCAACACTGTCAAGTTTTGAGGTGAGCTCGTTGACTGTTCAGCTGAGACTGAATCCAGTAGCCCATGTATTCTGACTTGTGCCGATTTGTTGTGTACTGACCCATCGCCCGCCCAACTTGGTCGACAGCACTGGTCAAAACTCCTCATTATAACTCCAGATAGCTTCATCCTGTAGTCAATAGCTAATGAGGACTGGATTTTCAGAAGAATCCATAAGCACTTGGATTCCATCTCAGAGGCTGGATGGTCAAAGTGCTTAGGCCGTTTCATAAAATTCCCGGATTCGACCTTTGGGATTGTGCTCCGGAATGAATTCTAAAAATTATATGATTCTCTATTTCGACAATGGACGTGTTTGTCAACACAGTGTGAAAGTTACCAGTACTAATGATCGTTATACTATATAAATTGCTGGGATTAAGGTAACTATTGCTAAACTTCAAGTGTTGGGATTCTATTTGTTCATTTTAGCTAACAAACTAACATCAGTTGAGGGATCATTGAAAGCTTGGATGTACTGGACAGCTGTTTTGTCCTGGGGTAAAACTCACGTAAGGTAACGGATGCATACCGTCGAAGAATTCCAAACTGAGACGAGAAAGCAATTGAGTACTCCCTAGTTTTAAATAGTTCTCTCACTGATATCAATCCGTGACCTAACTTCATGGCATTATCTCACAGAAAGGTGTTAATTATTCTTTAAGTATGGCTATTTTAAATAGAAAACAAAACAGATTTATAATTATCCAGTGGGGACAAAAGTGATCAACACTTTCATACCTGATATAAGTATAAAACTTGGGCACTGTGGTAGAGTGTAACTCCATTATAGATAAGATTTTATTTTAATAAATCAAATAGTGCAATAATTTGTGATCGAAACGTCATCAGTGAGTATTACTGTATAAAACTGTGTGATTTATTAAAATAAAATCTTATTTATAATGGACTTTCATACTTATTTTCAAGAAAATCACATTTAGTGTTGGTTATCAAATTCTTTAGCAATGAAGAAATCCTTTAACAACATTGCTAAATTTATCAAAAACCGTCTGAGTGAAAGGTGGTGTTAGAGGTGGATGTCGATTTTTCAGTTGATTTATTAAAATTAGAAAAATGTTAATTATTAATGTGAAATTTATTATTTTTTTTAATGTTCAGTTCAGCTTTTAGAAACCATAGTCTCAATCACAGAATATTTACCCGATGATTGATTAACTTGCAAAGCTAGTGAGAAATAGGCCTATGAAATTCTAAAAAGTATTATTGAGACTGTCTGAGAGAACTCTGGATTGTTGCACTGACAACTGCAATATGTGACAATATTTATAGTTCAGGATATGGTGGTGGCTAAATCGTAGGAATTCTTCCAGTTGATTGGACAAGATGTTCACATGCAATGAAGATGATTATAAAACTGTCACTGGAACTTCTACTTTAAACCAAATCATTTCGTAAAGCATTTCTAGCTAAACAGATAATTGATATTTATTTGATGTGGTTGTGTTCTCTGAGCTGGATAGTTAATTTGCGAAGCTTTCATCGCCCTACTAGGCGACATCTTCAGCGCATACTTCAATTTGATGAAGTGAGCTTTTAGATTTCTCCACGAGTTTATTAATCATCTCTCTCGGTGACCTTGGACGTGATTGGTTGTTTTTGTGCGTTTTCACACCTTCTAGGCTAATTGTATTGGAACTGATTGTTTCTTTGACTTGAACTTTGACCCTTTGTGTGTGAGGTTTCTTTCTTATCGGTTGATAAATTTTGTCAATCTTGATGTGTCTATTGATTCATGATTCACTGGAATGCCAAGCTTCTAAAAATTCTCTAGCAATTTTGTTGTTTCTTCTGTCTAATATTTGAACATTGTCCCAATCGAATTGATGCCCGTGGTTTTCTGTATGTAGTGATATGAGGGAGTGGATGTCGTGTCTTTTGACGGCTAGCTTATGTTCGTGGATACGAAGACGAAGGGGACGTCCACTTTGGCCAGTGTAGTGTTTGTTACAATTTATCACTTCAAATTAAAGTATGCGCTGAAGATATCACCTAGTAGGGTGATGAAAGCTTCGCAAATTAACTATCCAGCTCAGAGAACATAGCCACATCAAAATCATCCACCTGAGCTACAAATCTTCTCCATCATATCTGATATTTCTTTGATGAGATTATCTTTGAAGTGAAATTGAAAACTTTGTTTGCTGATTTTCAATATCATTAGACAATTCATTTAATCAAATGTCCACCAAACTATACCTATTGACCATACTTTTACATATGAAACTATATGTATTGAAGATATTAAGAAGCAAAAGGAATTTTTAAAAACCATAAATTAATATCACATTTTTAATTTTTGGGGAAAAAAACTTAATATTCTTGTAATGAAAAAATATGTGTGAATTAAGCAACGTATATAGTATATACCTGTTGGAATTGGTGAAATATCATCCCATCGGACAGACCACAGTGTAGAATCACTTGATGGTAGAGGTTGTACAAGCATAGACGGAAAAACTCCTCTTTGAGAATAATACTTTTGCTTTCCTTTATCTTCAACAGCTGCAGGCAGTAGAAGATCTCCTTCCCACCAACCATCATCAATACCAGAATTGGACATTGAAGTCAGTTGATCTCGTTTAGTTGTTGTTGCAGATGATGAGTTAATTAAATCATTGATATTAGGTGCACGACCTATTACACGAATAATTGCACCAGCTTTAAAGCTTAACTCATCTATATTAGTTCCATGAAAGTCAATCAATGTTTTTACAAAAGAACCAGATAGTGGTGGTTGAGATTCTGAAAATAAAGAAAAGTTATGCATACAAAATAATTATTTTCAAAACAATATTTTAAAATTAATGTTAATAATATCTACCATACAAGATGTCTTCATTGAATATCAACGTTATAGTGTTACTTTTTTTGAAAACCGATATAATCTTTTTTATTCCTTCGAGTTTTTAGTGGAAAACAGGGCTCCACGCTTTAGCTTTGAAGTTTCAACAGCAGTAGTGTTTTTACGGTGTGGGGTTGCTAGCCTCACACCCCCTATATTTTCCTCTTCGTTGCGACTGTTACCGACTAAGGACCGTAAAGGTGTGCGCTGGTTGGGACTCGAACCTGCAGTTATTATTGACAGTAAAACCAAAAATTTCGCAAATTGTCTGGATACATAACGTATGAATGAATAAGTGTTCAAACAGAGAATATAAAAAAAACTCAGAATTTATATAACACTTCTATTCACACAAACTGTGTATTGTAAAAAATGGAATAGCTTAAAAATCCCCATTGAGTCATATGAAAAAGAGAAGGCGTTCAGCGAAGAGACTCTTCTCGACGAATTCATTCACACAGTTGTAAAATCACATTTATATACAATTATTTTTTAAAATTTTGTGTATATGAGGTTTGTCAAGTTTAGATAACTAATTAGGTAATACAAGAATGATCTAATATAGAAACAAGGTTAATTAGACAGCAACTACAATAAGATTGAGTTAGTAAGTTAGATGACGTAATATGATTGACTATTATGTTTGAACTTAGGTCAGGATAGCAACAGAGGTAATTACAGGTAGAGACAAAGGAAAGGTCGGGTAGAAAATAATGCCACTTAAATTAGGACTCAAACTGAGGAAATCAATTAGATGACGTAACATAAATGGCTAGAAATTGAGCAAATAAAATTTTTTTTAAATGAAATATTCCGTTACTACGTAAAATATAAAAAGAGATTCATTATCACTGCTATTATATTTCACCCTGTTAGCCTTTTATCCTCTCAAATTATGTAACCGTTAACTGAGACGTATATTTCGTAACTCAGTTATTCTGTTAGCCTATCGTTTCAAAGAACAGGAACTATCTGAACACATGATTCCATCAAATCTCCTTTACTATTTACTGTGTGTAACTACACTCCTACTGTAATTCCTTTAATGTTGGTTTGGTCAGTCATTATAAATTTGTTAAAATCATATTAGTTGCAATGACGCAGACTTCACTGCCATAATTGCATAGAGCTAACCACTTCATAATGCAAAACTGTTTATTCACTTCCATAATATCACATATATAAGTTCCTATCATCAGGACAGGCATCATTATATAAGAACATTTGGACATTCTGCAATCTTCCACTTTTTCCTATGATAATAAGTGATAATGTATCTGACAGTGAGTCTTCTGTTTTAATTCTACGAATTTATGCAGTGTTCATTTTGAGCAGTGATATATATATGACTTATTATAGGTACAATGCAAGTAATGATTAGTATAAAAATTGAGGGAAGAATATCTTATTCGATGATTTCCTCTTCTCACTGTGCAATAATATATATAAAATATTCTAGAATAGTCGTCACTAACAACACTAGTGTTTTTCAATATTATCGATTTAATAAGATCAATGTAATTGCAGTTCCGATTTCCAAACACCATCCTGCTTGGTTGAGTAAGGGACAAACAAAATCCATTCATAACTCTGTTCTATCTCACATCGTGGATACCCAACACAACATTGATGCTAACGAGGCTTTCAATGTCATCTATTACATACCAAGTAATCTTGAATTTACCTAAAACGTTCGTCTACTACACACTGCTGAGGCTGTTGGGATCTGCATCAGGAAACCTAACTTATGTATCCAAAACAAGAAGTTTGTTCAGACAATATCCTTACCCTCCTGGCTTTTCTAGGTTTTAATGATCTTCAATTTGTTGTAAGGATTTCCCTAATTTTATTTGATATTCAATTTGCTATTACATTTTTATGCTTAGTATAACTTAGGTGTATTTCTGGAACTGTAATTTCATTGATCTTACTTAACAAATCAATAGTGTTTAAAAACACCATTGTTGTTAATGACGATTATTCTAGAAGAGGAAATTATCGGAAAGGATATTCCTCGTCTAATTTTGTTTGTGAATGGTTAGTTTTAAGTGGCAGTCAGTGTGGTGACGTTTCAGTAGTTATAAGATTCGGTTGTCGTTTCCCACAAACTTCAGTGCAATGACCATCCCAAGATATGGTGAATTCGTAGTAACTTTACTCTTAGAATATAATATGAAGCGTTGAAAGCCTCCATGAAATCAATCAGAAAATGTATAAAGATTATTAAGTTTACATAGCAGTTTTCTTATTCTTATTGAGTAATTTAAATATAACTATTCAGTCAAAGTATAAACTCTTTTCTGTTACTTAGACGTACCATTTACTAGAAGTTCATCTGTGCATGAAAGACGGGGTGCGTCGATTTCTGGAGGAAGAGAAGTATTTACCAAATCAAGCTGGCCTGTTTTATTTAGATAATTATGATCAGTATTTCCAGGAAGGACGGCTGAGTTAGATGAGTTCTTTTCATTTTCGTTATTGAGCTGCATGAAATCGTTATTATTATTGTTGTCTTTATATACCTTGTGATCTTCGTTAGTTACATGAGGATTGCACAGTTTTAAATAGCTGAAAGGAACTAAACCTTCATTTCCATCGATTAAACTTCTCACCTGAAATAGATACAAACAATGATATTAAAAGTCCATGAAACATAAGATGAACATTGTAAATAATGTAATGTAATGTTACAGCTATTCATAGATTAAAAACGAAGAATTTATGGGTGTCATGTTGCAGCAAAACAATCATAAGTAATGGTGCTTGATTTAAAAGAAGTGGAGTGAGCGGACTGAAGTGATAAATTAGTCCGATTGGACTAATTTCGATCTTCACATGCTAAATGTTATCTAATCCAGTCATATAAATATTTGCTCACCAGTATTACTGCAAATTTTAAACAATAAAGCAGCAAGTCTTCTTGTTTTATCTTGATTCGTTTGCGAGGTCGAATTCTCGTAGTTCAGAGATCAAGGTTGTAGAACATCATATTTTAGGCCAAGGCTGAACTGTGTGCAATGAGAATCGGCAGTGAGTAAGCTTACATCATCTGTTAGGAAGACTGACTCGGAACTCGTCCCTATAGGGAGATATTTCACTAAACACCTAAGCACTAATGTCAGAAAACTTATCGACACACATATTTAGAAAAAAGATTAATACGTGATAAATGTGTTTGTACTCTCTATAATATCGAAGAATATTTCTAGCGTCAAATATATTTTTAGGCTGATTTTGGGTATGTTTACAGGTTACTGAGTTTTACAATATACAATTCTAAGTACTGTTAGTTGAGAGATCTGTTCGAATCCTAACTTTGAGTATCACTGTGGTTGCCCACAGTCCAAAATCAGCAGAAATATCCAGTTGAAGCAAGTATGAGAATTTAACCATCAATAAATTGTTGTGTAAAAATAAGAAAGTATATTTAGTATTAATTGGTGGATGGTGACTAGCAGTGGAATCCAGGATGCTCATTCCGTCTTATTTGGAACTCGTCAGCTGGATGTACCTCCATTGCGCAATGAGTGATGATGTTCCCACTGAGGCTTGAATCCAGTGCTCATAGTTCCAAACGCCAAAGCGTTATCCACCAGACCCCTTGGGCCACGAGAGCCATTTCTTGTGCAACGGGTAATATTATTTATTTAATTAATCCAGATGACGAGTCCCAAATAAGACGAAATGCGCATCCTGGTTTCCACTGCTAGTCACCATTCACCAATTAAATTCTAATTACATGTCCAGACATCGTCGGAGCATCTGCACAAGAAGCCACCATGTCAACCTGAGACCGAACACTTCGGTCCAATCAATCGATGGCAAAATCTAAAATTGAATTAAATATAATTAATATGTTAACAACTTACTTTAATCCATCCATTTTTGTGTTCATCTTCTAAAAGGACGACAGTTTCATGTACAACAAGATCTAATTCATTTGGTTTTTTAGCTCTAAACTCATGAACTACATTAGCTCGACGTAATCGACCATTTTCAGACCAAACAGCCTCAAAATCAACATCGTCTTTATTATTATCTGTAAAATTGTCTGAACTAGCAACACGAATTATTGAAGTATGATGACTAACTGAATTATTACTATTACTAGTAGTATTATAATTTTGTCCATTATGAAAGTTGCTATTAACTGATCGGTGGACAGCAATATCATCACGAGTTCGTGGATTCATATGGTTAACATTCTGATAATCATGTTTTATAGAACCAATAGAATCAATATTGGATGCGTTAATATGATTAGGATAAGTAATCTTTGTATTTGTCTGTAGCGGTGATTTATACGTAGAATTATAACCTTTCTCACTGGAATTATTCACTTGACCAAGAGTTGTCGGTCTGGGAACTGACATAAAAAAGTAGAATAAAAAACTAATCAAATAAATGTGACCAATAATTGGTATGGTGAAAACGTTTGTCAACACTATACGTCATATGGATACAAAAGTGAGTGAAATGATATGACTTGTCTACAGAATAGCTTAATACTACACAGTACTAGTGTAAAGAAGTAAAGACTAAGGAGGCTGGAAGGAATGTTTGTTTAGCGGAACGTATTGTACATAGGTAAATTTGGTATACCATACTTCCAAACCGCCATTTGCGGAATTGGTCGAATATCGTCACATTCGATAGCATCTTGGATTCTGCATCGTATGGCGATATTCTTCATATAGTTCTCTTCTTTGATTGCTGTTTCCAGTGTACAAAACTTATTGTTACTTTTCTGAATTCGCTTTCTAATATACTACTTATATCGGATTATAAGTAGCACTCACCACACTAGGAATGGGTTACCAGGTGAAAGGACGAAGATTAGTAAATAGCAGAATAAAAGACAGCTGTACCGTTGTTCAGAACTTTGTTCTGTTTTACTTTAATCATGAATGCAATTCAGTCTCATGTAGGATCGTTATCATACACTACCTAAAGTAGGAAATATCAATGAATAGTTCTCCTTGGTTTTCAGCTATAAAAATAGTCTACCATGAGAAAGTATTTTAATTTTAGAAAATCCTATCTCATTTGGCCAGCGCAGTACTAGAAGCTAAACAAAGAGTACCATTACGACAACAAAATCTTTTTCTGAATTACGCTTTCTTAAAGAGATCTCGAAATATTAATTGTAAGCTCCCCTTAGAAGTCCCGCGAAGTGATCGAGCGGAAAAAAGTACTGACTTTACTGTGTCTGATTTAATCGCATTACATAATTAATAATATAAAAACTTATTTGCAAAACTCTTCCTTCATATATGTTTTTTTTTTCTTATCACACTGTGATCTTTTAAACGCTATATAGGCAGGCGATGTATCACATTGGTAAGAGTGTTAAATATTACTTTGAAAAGGACGTTCTCATGTCTGATTTGGATAGTGTGCATAATTTAGGGATATCTCCTAATTCAGCTTATCTGAATAATTTATATTTTATCAGTAATAATAATAATTATAATCTTCCTTTCATTCATTCCTTCATTCATAGAGGATATTACTAAAGATCTAGGTTTTTCTTTTTTGATAAGTCTTTTTTCAAACAGATTTCTTTTCGAAAAGAGAAAAAGAAATTTTATGTTGGGATAAAAAGTCTAACACTTTATTCATAGTCATAAATTACATATGTGTCTGATATATATTTCCCTAGCCAGTCGACTGTTATCTTCCCAATTTTCATTCTAACGTATGAAATAAAATTAACCTGCATATAAGTTTATAGTTCCTTTTTTCTCTTGCAGAATATAATACGCTTTTATCATTGGTAAAATGAGTTATTATTATTATCAATGTTACTATTATATTATTATTACATGAAATGCAAACGGATATCAAGTCTTTATCAACCAAATTCAGCAGCTGGCTACATGACAATGCCACGTATCAGGTGATCAACAACAGAAAACTCAGAGGGGAATTCGAAGTGCATACAGAGTGCACACAAACTCGAAGACTTGCAAGCGAGAACCAACAAACTGGCTGAAGAGGCAGCGAAGAAAGGACTGCTGGTGAAAATACAGAGGACGGAGGTGATGAAGATCACCAACGATCTGCAACAACAACAACAACACCAAGCAGTAGCAATCACCATCCACTAGAGAGATAAAACATAGGTTACCTACGTCACTTATCTAGGAAGCAGCGTTTTAACTACAGGCAGCCGGAACGGATGAAGATGTCAAAACCAGCCAGTGAGAATCGGAAAGGCAAGATACGCCTTCATCAACCTGAAACCAGTTTGGAAATCTTCTGCACTCAGCAAGCATAAAGAAAAAGTTTCGGATTTTCAACAAGAATGTGAAGTCAGTCAGCCAGTTCTTCTATATGGGTCAGAAACTTTAACTGCTTATCACGGAAAGGATTTCCAACAGGTTGCAGACTTTCATCAAAAGCTGCCTTCAGTGGTTCCATACTGAAGATCAAATGGCGGGACAAAAAGAATTAGTGACAAAAAACGGTGGGAACAAACCAACCAAGAGCTGATCGCTAATCAAATATGTAAAAGAAAGTAGAGATGAATCGGGCATACATTGAGGAAACCGTCGAATGACATTGCGCGCAATGCAGGCCATTGCTCGAGTAGAATTCCAATCGGAAGCGACGAGTAGATCGTCAGTGTGAGGGTGACATGGAGAAGATCGTGTGGTGAGGAAGAGATGAGAGATTGTGGTCAATCGTGGACCCAGATGAAGAGGACGGCACACAACAGAAGAAAATGATGTGTTGTTGAAGTCCTATGTTACACTCGGAACCCAAGTGAATAATATATATATATATATATATATATAATCACATTTTGGGATTGATTAAGAGTGAAGACTCACAAACCGGAACAAAATTTAAAATATGGTGAAAAAATTCATTCAGGCATTTACAAAAAATAGAGCACAAAATATCCTTTCCGTTAATTTCCTCTTCTCGCTCTACAATTATATATATATACACATTTATGGACACAGAATATTCTGGGATAATCATCATAAACAACATTGGTGTTTTTGAATACTATTGATTTGTTAAGTAAGATCAAGGAAATTACAGTTGAAGAAAGACGCTTAAGTTATACTAAGCATAAAAATGTATTAGCAAATAGAATATCAAATAAAATTAAGGAAATTTCCAAAACAAATTGAGGATCAATAAAACCTAGAAAAGACAGGAGGGTAAGAACACTGCCTGAACCAACTTCTTGTTTTGGATACATAAGTTAGGTTCCCTAATGTAGATCCCAAAATCCTCAGCAGTGTGTAGTAGACGAACACTTAGGGTAAGGTCAAGATTAGTTGGTATGCGACAGATGACTTTGAAAGTCTCGTTAGCACCACTGTTTTGTTCTGTATCCACAAGGTGAGATAGAACAGAGCTATGAGTGGATTTTGTTTGTCCTTTACTGAATCACACAGGATGATGTTCGGAAATCCGAACTGTAATTTCATTGATCTTAACAACATTTGAAAACACTAATGTTGTTAATGACGACTATTCTAGAATATTCGATAAAGATCGAATAGGATATCCTTTGCTCATTTTTTTCTTAAATTTAAAACCTACTAGTTCCATTCACTCGGCATAAAATTCGCCACTTGTGTATCAAACATCAGTGACTGATGTGACTGGTATGCAACTACTTGTCTCAATCAATCGGTAGTATATACACCATCGTGCATTTACGTTACCTCTCTCTTAATTGAAATTTATCATGTCGGGCAGATCATATTTTATGACATGAAGAACTTCAGTTTTTAAAAGAAACCATAAAGTTTGTAATTCACAAAATCGTGAATTTGCTTTAATCTATTAGGAATTCTCCCAGGTAGCTAGTCAGAATTCGAATGGTTTTCAAGTGATTCGACTCTCCAGTGTGAGTTCAAATGGCGAAACATTTGACAAATTCACCTAAAAAATGAGTGGAAAAGCCTTCCGACTACTTATATCAATTAAAGAGTAGTTATGCGACCATGCTCTCATAAACTTACTTATAAATTCATAAATTTTTTTATAGAAACAGTAATATGATTCAATGTTCACAACAATTTATGTCAAATGCAGCAATTAGACAGAAAGTATGAAGTTGAAAATCAATATTTTGTTGAAGATATTTATATATTCTTTTAATACATGTTTACCAGAACCTATTTAATTCAGTTACGACTGCATTACGAATTTTTTAAACTATTACAAATTCATTTGAGTTATCTATTATATTAAAAGTGTCGATCTATATTCGAAAGCTCAACAATTAACTTCTATAACATCCTATGAGTACAACAGAAATATCATTTTCCTTTGACATTATTGAATCGTCATTATACATTCATGACGCCCACGTTGAAATCAACTTCTTCAGACACTTACAAAGTTAACTCCCCTATACTGATGCGTAACGTGTATAATAAAAAAAGCAATTATATTCACTTACATGTAGAGGACCAATCGTTAATTCTACTTCTGTAAAATTGACCAGTAGTCTGTGAAAGCAGTAAAACAGAATTAATATGTTTAAATTATTTCATGTTGTTTTTAATATTACTAGTGAAAATGATGAATAATATTTAGGAAAAAATCCTTTGCATTCATTAATATTAAGTATTTTCTAAGGTAATAATTCGAAATAATAACAATAATAATTCCCTTTATTTGGAAACAGTAATAATGTTACAGTGTGGAATTCTCAGCATTTGGTACATTCATAAAGATAGTATTACAGGATTGCTAATGGCAGTTCTTATTTGGTATTAGCAGTGACAGTGAAGTCATATGTATATACAAAATAATGTAAATAATAATACTAAGGTTAGTGGCTAAGATTGTCAGTTAACTGAGGTTGTCTCACCATAGATTACAAATAGGAGATAAATAAAACGATCAATTATGTAGCTAACAACACAGATGCTTTACATTGTCTCTGTCACATAGAACACTGGCCAAGTATGATATCGTTGAGTTCCTATGCTTGGAATTACGAGAATATAATCTTTTGTACTGACTTCTAGTTCTACCAATTGAGATACAAGGTTAGAAGTTGAGAATAGAGGGGGGTGTTGAGGGTCAAACAATATAGATGTAGACTATTTCTCGCATGAGTTTAGATGTTCATCAACTTATCTAGTGACAGGCTGACTAAGTTGCACACCACTTGTCCTACTGACAACCTTCAATACCCTTCTCAAAATGACATAGTACTTTTTCGGTAGACCGGGAAAGACTTAGGAGGAACAGTAAAGTAGAATAAGAAAGATGCACTAGTTAACAAATTGTAAAAGCAGAGGTTGAGTGATTCCAGATTAATTTAGCTTTTTAGTGTAGTAGCTTAGACAAAACATTTTCTTGGAGATCGAAAAAATATGGGATGACTAAGTAAGGTCAGAGGAAAGAACTATACCAAGGTATTTTGTGTTGGACCAAGTTTCTGTTACAGTCTCCTCTATGCTGCAAACATCGTGTGTACTAACCAGTCGTTGTAGATCGCGTTTGTATCTTAAGGAGAAGTCAAAACTCTAGCGTTTTGAGAGATTTAACTTAAAACCATTTAGCTTAGACCACTGACTGATGTCCGACAAAAAGCAGTTAAGTTTGTAACAGTCTGATTAGCACTTGACAGAGAGCGAGACGGTCAGATTATCAGCGTATTTGACGAAGTTGATTTTATTAGAAACAGGTAAGTTATGTAAGAAGAAAGGAAGAAAAAAAGGAGCGAGAACAGCACCAGCTTCAGTAAGCAAGGCAGAGGAAAATTCACCCCTGTATATAGTATACTGCATTCTATTTGAGAAATAAGAATGCAACCAGTTAACAGCCCAGGACTGGGTTTGTGTAAGGGAAAGCTTATTTAACAACATGCATCTAGGTACTGAGTCAAAAGCAGATGTGTAGTCGAGGAAGGTACAACGTACATATTTGCTCCCTTTGTCTAAGAAGGAGACAATGCTGTGATGTAATACAGCGACAACATCTAAAGTACTTCTGCTCTGCCTATAAGCAAACTGTTTGGGATCATTAAATCTTTTTGAAGAGGGTACAAGGTTGGACAAGAGTAATTTTTGCATTCATTTCAAAAAAGGAAAGGTGATAGCAATAGGTCTAAATTTAAAATTATTACCAGAACCTGACTTGGGTACATAGATGATTTTAATGTCTTTCCACGCAGTGGGTACATTATTACTGTAGAAGGAAGTATTGAATATGTTTGTGAGTGGGTAACATAAGATATCAGCACATCTGCTGAGGACAAACAGCAGGTACACCATCAGGAACTAGGCTCTGGGAGTGTTGTAGAGATTTCAAAAACTTAAGAACATCAAGAGTCTTAAAACCATGAAAATCACTGACCTTCTTATCCTTTTTATTGGGGACAAAAGCATCTTTAGAAAAGCGTATGATAGAGTTGTTGAGATTATTTACATCGTATTTAGCTAATATTTCCTCGCTAGAAAAAGTAGCATATATCTGAGCACCATATTTATTAAATAGCAGAAAAGGAGTATTAAAATGATCTTACTCAAAAATGTTAACCATCTTCTTAGGATACATTTTATAAGCTGTCTAAACTAGGAAAAAAACAAACTAACTCTAAGAATTTGAATAAATTATTGATTTGATTTAAACAATGAGTTGATTAAATCAAATTAAGCCTATAACGTGATACAGGACAGAATTATACAACCACTACATAGTCTGCCTTCCTATGTGATCGATGAGGCTTAAAAAGACTTAGAAATCATTGGTGAATAAGGAATGAGACAACTCTTAAGTGTTAATAAGTAGTAGGAAAGAGTATTTCAACAGGTTAGTTGAACAAGCATAGGACAAATTATTATTATCACAGTTAGATATTATTATTGTGTGGAAATCCCTTCAAGCTAGTACAAACTGGATTTTGTAGAAAAATTTAATTTTTGCATGGCATCTATGTTTAGAGAAGATTATATTTCTTAAAAAAAATTCATATGGATCCCGGAGAGTGAACTGAAATCTTCCGGATTCAAACAGCTAGTGGTTGGAGACAACCGGTGATATCGCTTGAAATCGTTCTCATTGGCGCAGATGCAATCACCCTTTGCTGTCTGCCATATCCATTAAACCATATTGTTTTTCAATGTTACTATTCTCCTCCATAGCCTTTCTACTTAGTATCATGCTCTTAAATCTCTTCTTTTCTCTCCTTTTTCTTCTTTTGTGAGCTACGTGGAGTGTGGCAACTCGAACTGCTGAACTTCTGTGCAGAGTTCAATGTTGAAACCGGTCAGTCAGTGGAAATTTGATATTCATTGTGTAGCAGTAATTGAATGAATACATAGAAACAAGTTCATGAGGAAAAAGAATCTCCAGTTTCTCTTTACAAAGCTACAACGTAAACCTAGAACTGTCATTCACAGACTTTTGCTGCGGAAAAAGCTAGTTAAATGTTTACAAGAGTTTAAAAACTTAGCTATTTTTCACTATGATTCAGAAACACGCAAAAAACTCTAAGACAAACAACACTTCATACAATTAATAAACTGACGGGACACTGAAAAACATCTCGAAAATGCAGTTATAGTGTAGGATGAATATGCCTCGGTCAAACCAATATCGGATTATAAGACAAGTAGCTGTATTACGAACTGTGAATAATTCAAAAGACTAATACTCTAAAGTCTTTTAGATTATTTCCACACCTAAGTACATCAACCGTGAGACATAAGTCAGTTTATTAGCACCTGAAATAGGGTAGAGTCATAAGGTAAGTGGCAACATGAACGTTTAAAGTTATCTAATTACAACCCAGTCAATAAAGTTTCATAAACTTTTAAGCCAACTCCTATCACTTGCCTAGCGCTTCAAACGTATGCTGGATTGTATAAAGTCGATATAGAATTTCAGTAATGCTGGAGAAGTATCTGTGGTGTTTACACCTCATCCAAATTAAGAAGCATTTAACACAACTTTACAACACACCGAATTTAAATGACACCTCTATATATTTTCAATGTTACGAGTGTTATCAGTTATGAGAAACATATTCCAGTTGCTAATCAAAAACAGAAGGAAGAAAAGCAAAGTCTGTTCATAGGAGAAGCTTGATAAAGATTGAAAGTTAAGTATCTTGATGAATTTCTAAATACTTCAGTGATAAAAAAATGCTTTCACCAACACTTACATCATCATCGCCATCGTCATCGTTAAAACTTCTATGGACCGGGTAGGCTGAATCACGACCAATTATCCCAGAACCATAAGATCTGACTGGTCGATCCCAATCACTCAGTAGTCTTGAGTCATGATCAATAAAATGATTGACACCAGAACTACTAGCTGCACTATCACTGCTTCCTTCACCCGACGGTCGAATATTCGGTCGTCTATTCGGAGTAGAATCATTCAGTAAACCAGAACTTGAATTTTCATTATGAAATTGCGCAGCTGCAGCTGCAGCAGCAGCTGCTTCAGCGGCTATTCGAGCTTCAACAATGAAATTGTTGACCTCAACTAAATTGAGAACGATAATTTGATTAAATACTGTTGTTATCGGTGATTTATTACAAACACCGTAAATATTTGGATACAAGACTTTCTATTTAACATGAAATATGTGTATAATACAATCTTCAATTAATTTTAGGCAAAATATACCAAGAAATGATGCTATCCAAAGGATCTGTATTATTAAGATAGACAAGTAATGAAAATAATTTCAGACACCGTCCCAGATTATTTAACAGTTACAGTTTTATCCCTTATAACCTCCTAACGGTGAACAATAAAAGCAGGTCTTAGCCGATAGTAATACGAATAAATTGTCGTTTACTACATTACAAATAATTATGGCTTATAAAATGCATATCATCATGATATACACTTTGTTGAGTTTACTGAATGTATACATTGAAGATGAACGAAGTTTTTCAGTCACAGGCTTTTGTAGGGATCTGGATTAGCCTCAATGTGGATTTCGCTACTACTAAATATCATTTAGAGGTTACTGAAGACCAGGAAGTACTGAACAGTTGGTTCCCCTAGCTGGGGACTCTTTAGCAGAGCATACCCACGACGCCGCCATGGTTCCAGCCCGGAACCTTCAGGTTATGAGACCAAGCTTGCTGGTCATTCGGTTACTTGGACATGAACTCAGTAACCCATGAATTCTAAAACTGTCAATTCGCGATGTAGCGCCATTGGTATGTACTTCGCCTTGATAAGGTGGAGCCCGCTGGTCACGACTTCTCAGTACAACTTCAAGACATCCACGCAGTAACTATTAATGAGCTGGAGATCAATATTTGGATTTTGGGTTTTTGTGGGGACTTATTTCAATATAGTTTTCGTCCCGAACCAAAATCATTTAGAGATCTTGGGTATTCACTGATGAAGAGCACCAAACTAGGACGAAACCGAGCCCCAGTGCCCCTGGTTTTCAATGATATCTAACTGATAATAGTTCCTGACAAAATCAACATTGATTTAGGTTATCTTTGAAGGAACCCGAAATTTATTCTTTGCACTTCATATTTACAGAAGTTAATACATAATAATCTACTTACATGATGAATATAGAATCTGCCTATACTAAAAAGAAAATAACCTAGAAAATGATTATAAACTCTTGACATATCAACGCCCTAACACACCTAGATGTTCACTTGACCAATCATATATTTTTTTTTATTAAATTTATGTATTGGATCGCTTCTATGGCTACCTTGATTACACATTTAGTTCAATATTATTTGTTCACCATCTATTTCCAGTAACTTATTATTATTAGTATTACATGATATGAAACTGTTCAACGTGCGCATAGGTTTTAAAGGAAAAGAAACACTATACAGAAAAATAAAGAATGGGGAAGAATAACAATATCAGGTGGGTTAATCAAGTATGATCGATAACGTGTAAATCGTTGGCTAAATGTAGGTTTAACGGAAATCAAAAGAAAATTAATTCACAGTCTTACAATATATATATATATATATAATAATGAAAGTCGTTAGAGAAAGTAGATTACACCGGGATTGAGAACCAGTGTCTTCATAATTCATCTACAAAATTCGGTGGTTAACTTCAGCTATGAAATATTTTGCGCACCTGTTTGAAGTGAATACGTTTCACTGCCGTATTATCCATTTTAGAAAATAAGGAGTAAATGGTAATGAGACGCAAACGACCCAGTTTTTGAACGAGGTTATGAAATTATAAAAGATTTTGATGTAAGCCATGATAAGAGATGCTTCTACCATTAGCACAACAGTCAATAGCGGGGTCCCTCGCTTCACAAGAAATCAAAATGCGATGGCGACTGTCTGGCCTAACCATAATGTGAAAGCAGTAGTCTGCCGATCATGACAAAGTTTTATTTCCATCGAAATCCTTATATGGCCATAAAAGCAGAATAAATGAGGACACAGCAGAGAGAGAAAATCATTTTAACTTACTTGATGAATTGCGCAATAACGATAAACAAGCTTCTATTTTTACACGTTCAATCTATGTAGAGAAAAAGTCAAAATAATTTCTTATTTAGAATTTGAATTTTGTAAAGAATCTACATTATTAACGATGTAAATTATGCTATGAAATAACGTCAGTTTGAGAATCACTGACAACCAAGGAGTCCTGGAACCTGTTTCATCCTAGTTTAAGACTTTTCAGCAGTCAACACACTTTACTCCAACAGGGATGGAAACCAGAACCTTCAGGCTACTAGGCGTGTACGTTGGACATTAAGTAATTGAATCGAAATTCAGTTACCCATTAACTCTAGTACCTGTCATTTAGCAGTATAGCTCCACAGTCAGCTGTCATGGTTACGCACCGCTGAACAGTCTCAAACTAGGACAAAACACTTGTTCAGTACCTCTTGGTTTTCAATGGCTATCTAACTGATGTAATTTCGTGACAAAATCTTCACTGAAGTTCTGTAATTAAAAGGAAAATAAATGTTGATAAAAACCTATCAAAACTTATACCTTCTCTGTATGTGCCAGTGATTTAGAAGCATTATTGTTCAGCGCCAACTCATACAGAAGGAGTTCAAGGTAATTTACAGATGGTAATGATAATAGTAACTATGATAATATTCTTCTAAAAGATACAACCGCTTGAATATGTCGTCTACTATTACTTATTATTTTCTCCTTTAGTTCCCAGAGGAACATTAGGATTCAGCCATACGTTTCCATTTCGTTCGGTTCTCCGCCACCGTTTTCGCCTGTTTTGCCGTTTGCCCACATGCTTTCATCTCCTCTTCGCATGACCTACTCCATGTCACCCTCGCATTGGCGACCAACTCGCCGCTTCCCATTCAGGTTCCACTCGTGAGAAAGCCTGACGTGTGATGTCATGTGATGGTTTTCTCAGAGAATGGTCAATCCACCTCCATTTCTTCCCGCATATTTGTCGAACTATCGGTTCCTGGTTGGTTCGATCATTGCCAGAGATCCCTGTTGCTGATCTTTTCTGGCCTGTCATCTGATCTTGAGTATTGATCAAAGACAGCTGTTGATGAAGGTCTGTAGTTTGTTCGAAGTGCCTTTCATGACACGCCGATTTTCTGATCCCTATAGCAGCACTAATTTCACACTGGAGTTGAAAATCCGGATCTTGTTTTTCATGCTGAGGAGTACTGTTGATCTCGACATAGACTTGAAAGTAATGAAGGCTCTCTTGATTTACCGATCCTTGCTTTGATAACCTCATTAGTTCCGCCTATAGTTGAAACGATGCTTCTCATATATTGCTGATTGTTGTCTGTTGTTGCTTTTGGCCAGGAATCTTCATCACCTCTGTTTTCTCTAATTTCACCTGAAGTCCTATATTTGAGGCTTCTTCTGACGACTTGTCGTTTTTCACTTGCAAATCTTCTACTTTGTGGGTAGTCAAACACGTCGTCTTTTTTCACTCCTTCACGTCAGCAGTGGAACATAGGGCTTCAAACTAGAGACTTGGAGTTTCTGTAGCAGTGTTGATTTTTACAGGATGAGGTTGCTAGCCTCATGCTCAACCTTTCCTCTTTACCAGCTTTTATTACTGGCTTAGCGCGGTAAAGGAGTGCGTCGGCCGAGGATCAGTCCCCGGACCACATGTGTGGTCGGTAAGCATTCTACCGCTGTGCCACCGACACGTCGTCTAGTTCTCTAAATTTGTGAAGCACCTGTGAACCAGTGAAATACTGAAGATTCTGATAACCAGCACGTTTTCTCAAACTTTGAAGTATTATTCATAAAGTAAGTATTCTATCGTAGTAATATTTCACAGATTCAATTTTGTGTTCAGGCTTTTACCGTAGGAACAGCTACATTTATAGACAGCTAAGTAACTTATTCTTCATCTGAGCAATGAGTAATTTGCCAGACAGCATTTATTACTCACGGATAAGACACCTTGATTGGTCAAAATTTCGTATATATCTAAGGCTATATGTATTCGAGTAAAGTTTGATCTAACAGGAAACAATATTGTCCACTTATATATCTTGTTTTAATTTTAACAATAAGAGTATTAAATGCTATAAATAAGTGTTTAAGAGTAACATAATCCTGTCAAAACTTATATAGAATAAATAGAGTTAGTGACATTACAATAATAATAATAATAGTCGTAGTAATAAGATGTATGTGAACTGTTATGTTTGCTAATATTTCGAAAGTCAGCAGTTTTAGAAAAAAACACGTTTCCTTCTTTGAGCCAGATGATAATTTAGTTTTTTCTTCATTAGTCTCACTCATCCTAGGTTATACATAATCTTTGTGATTCCATTTTTCTCTCACTTCATTTTTTATTCATGATATATATATATATTCATGTGTATGTTCATTGCCTGTCATTACCGGATAGTTTTTATCATCACTTTTTCAGTATTAGAAATTATGATAATATTTTGAATATACACTGAGTTCCTTTATTAGTTTCCATTTTTTGGTTAGGCAATGCCAACTTATTGATTAACACTTGATTCACTTTGTCTGTGTGTGTGTGTGTGCGTGATTATAAGTATAACTGTACAAGTTTCATCAAGGAGAAGTAGATTATTCAACAGACAAATTTTACTTCATTGACTAATCTTACTTACTTACTTACGTGATAAATATAAATTATCATAATTCACTTTCAGAGTTAACAAAGAACTTTTATCAGGAAAAAAGTTATTCTTATTTCATCAGTAGAGCAATGATACCACTCTCTTGTTAACCTACACTTTGAACGTTAAATAAGTACGATGTTCAGTTGGACGACTATTATTTCACTTGAAAATTTACAGGATTTATTAAATTCAGATAGTCGAGCTAACAGTCCGGCCAAAAAAGTCTTTAGAAATCAATGAATGCAGAATATCAGTCAATACATCTGTCCAGACTAGATAGAAATACTTCCGTATTCTTAAAGAAATATGTATCCACTTGTAGAAAAAGAAAATTTCTTTGAACATGGTAGCATTGAAGGTACCTGTGTTCTACAATAAATATAATGACTTCAGAGTTGACAGTTTATGAATATTTTTTCAAGACCGACATCATTTAGTATGTTTATGTCTGTACGTCGGTGGCACAGTGATAGAGTGCTCGCCGACCAGGCAGGTGGTCTGGGGTTCGGTCCCTCGCCGACATACCCCTTTACCTCACTTAGCCAGTAATAAGACTGGTAAAGAGGGGAGGTTGAGTATTAGGCTAGCAACCCCACCCCATAAAAACAAAAACCACTGTTACCGAAACTTCAAGTCTCTAGCTCGAAGCCCTTTGTTCCACTGGGTACTTAAAGGAATAAAATAATCATTAATGTCTGTGAGCTGCTCAAAAGGAGATGTTTACTATTGTGATAGAAGTGCAACCAATTATAAAATTCAGTCGTTTGTGTGTAAAAGATCATTACTAAAGAAACAAAAATACATTTATTAAAAGTATGTTTAACAAATAATAACGAAATTTAACACTCGGACAGAAAAATAATACCTCTTCTCGACGTATAGCGAATTGTAATTCTTCAACTTTATGCTCAACGTACTCCTGATTGAATGCTAATAATTCTTCATTATTTTCAGTTTCCTTGTAATAACAAACAAATTGATCGGTACATAAGAAATGGTGAAAGATTTAGGAAATATTAATTAAGAATATAATCATTTGAAATTAAATATGATTTATTTACATGAGATCACGATGCAGAGAGTCTGTTAAGTGAAATCTAAGACGCAACCATTTTCATTCTACTTTCAAAGTGTATTATTAGGTGAACAAAAAGCCTTCGGATAACTGTTCGTTATGCCGACTACTTTTAGAATCACGCTTTATTACACAATAAGCGATATTCATGCATAGCTTGAGCGAAATTCCGGCCGCATATATTAGCGCTTCTAAGGGTTTTACAAAAAACCTATAGCTACTAAACTAATGGCATTACAGGACTGTTTCCAGATTTACAGACTTTTGCTTCAGAATTACAAAATTAAAACGTAAACATCATATAGATAAAAGTGATAACGACACAACACTAAAGACTAAAGCTGACATTTACCTCCAGCATACACTCGATGTATGATAAACTGATGCTATTTTGTAAAATAAATCTTAAAAAAGAAATTGCACTAACTACACTTATAATGTCACTGTGATTTCCCTGGAGGGCTGGACAAAAATACTTTTGTTGAAGATTTAGAATAGATGACAAGTGACCATTAATTTGAATTGAAAATACGTTAGGAAAATAAAAATCAGAAATTGCGACATCTAGATGATAAGATTTGTATCACTAGCTTTTAAGATATGGAAGATGGGCAAAATGAACGAAGTATCGATTCATGCCTTACACTATGATTCATACTTATTGACTATTTAGCTTGATGACATTACCTAGTCACAAAAATCTTTGAAGAATTGAACTTATAACCCACTGGATGGACTTTGAAGTTCAAAACCATAGAACCACAGTTTTAAGCAATTACTAAAATTTAGTCAGTGATGAATGCCAAGTCGTATTACAGCTCCTATAGTTTGTTCTCGCTATAAAAACATAATCTCTTATCAAATAATAGATTCGGAAGTTAATATACAGGAAGTTTTGTCCACCGAAAAGGGGAAAATATGTTAATAAAGCGTGAGAGACAATCGGTTTGAGAAAAATTCCTTTATTATAGTGACAATAAGCATTATATGTGTTGGAATAGAAATAATTGGTTAGACAGCATGTGATGATAGCAGGACCGAAACATTCGAAAGTCTAAATCATTTACTATTCCAATGTATCTCTGTTACTGTCTCTCATCACTATATGATAAACAGTGTTCTACATATATGTGAATAATGGATGATATTGAATAAGTTTTGTTCTCTGAACTGCCTCATTTAATTGCGAATCTTTCGTTGTCTTTCTAGACAACATCTTCAGCTCAGGTTTTAGTACAATACGAACTTATTTGAATTCTCTCCCCATGAATGATGGAATTGTATCTCCTGGCAAGGACTGTCGTGACTGGTTGTTAATTTACGTTCCCATTGATAATTTTCATTGACTTGAAATTCGAACTTTCTTGTCACGTGATTTACTTTTTATTGGCTGATAAATTTGGTCTATAATAATGTTTTCGATAACTCTAGGTTTCTAGAAATTCCCTGGTATTTTCGGTGTTTCCTCTATTTAAAAATTCTACATTATCTCAATCGAATTGGTGTCCATTATTATCTACATGCACTGATATGAGACAGTATATTTCATATCTTTTTACAGGCAGTTTGTGTTCTTGGATTCAGATTCTAAAGGGACGCCTACTTTGTCCGGTCTAATGTTTATTGCAGTTCATACAGTTTATTTTGCAAATGGTATTAATTTTATCTTCTTTTTCTGTCGGATCCTTTCGTTTGCACAATATCAAATGAAGTGACTCTGCTGGCTTGTATACTACATCTGTCTCAAACGGTCTTAGTATTCTAGCTGTTATTTCAGAGTTATTTTTTATATACGGTAGGATGAAATTTCTTGTGGTCTTTGATGATATATATCACAGTCAAGACATCTTCATACTTACAGCACAAATTTATCTAAAATACCTTAGGTAGTTTATTTAAAAGAGGCCGAAGTATTAATCTTTTTATTCACCTTATTGTAATCAATCATGATGCCAGAAGCTAAATACCAATGAATGTTTATTTTAATTTTGGAATAGTGCACAGAAAAGAAACATATTGAAACAATGGGAAAGAAAGGGCACCGAAGTGGGGTTTTTGGTTAGTGTGACATCATTAACTAAATAAAACTGTAAATCGCAAATTAAAAAATTAGCTAATCAGTGAATTAACGTAGGAAGCCATCTGAAATATTTATGAATGGTTGATAAGTTGTAGTTGAAAGAGGCGGCCTGCTTAAATCACTCGGTTACCAAAACTGCTTTCCAACACAATGCTTAATTATACCTGGATTTATCATTGTTTTAATCGTCCAGTTATATCAAATGACCTGTACACGAACTTGCGCGCTGAGTTAACTTGCTTCCAAGTAAACGCTGTGCAATTCTTCAACGAAATGAAGATATACTTGAGAATATTACTTTACATTTAAATAGGTTAGGATTTTTTGTACCATATTATCACATATTGTCTTCAATTAAGCCTTATTATTATTTAAGAAAAATATAGATGTAAATATGAGGTTATTCAGCTTCGTGTACTAAACTACCAGGTGAATATATGAAAATTTCAAAAGATCAACTATATTTGAATTGAATTTGAGATTTTCCCGTCGATTGATTGGACTGAGCCCCGGTGGGAAAGTCATCACTCACTGGGAAATGCAGGTACATCCAGTTGACGAGTCCCAAATAGGACAAAATGCGCATCCTTGATTCCACTGCTAGTCACCATCCACAAATTAAAGACCAACTATATACCCAAACTTAACTGAGTAAAGATAAATAAACTGGAGATTTACTCAGCGTAAAATCAAATATCTATAATATTCCAAACTGTCAATTTAATACAACAAAACTAGAAACTAGAAACACAGTTTACTCTAAAAAAGTGAAACAACGAAAACTATCAGTATTACTCAGATTACTTATAATTTCATTTAAAATATATTAAAGTTTCACTAACTGAAGTATTCTGTTGCATTTGATGCGATTGTGATTGTTGATGTGGAGTAACTATGCCAGACAGTGAAGATACATAACCAGCTTGTAACATTTTCAATTCATTCTCATAAGATTTAATTCTCCGTTCACGGACAACTAATCGCCTTGATAGCTTACGTGCAATTTGTTCCAAATTACTTTCTTTTATATTACCAGAGTATAATACTGTTGTCTAAAGAAGAATTGAAATAATAATAAATAGTGGTAAGTAAAACTTAATCAGTCAGATAACAGCATATATTTTCAAATACGGTATATATATATATATATGTAGGTATGTAAGAAATAATAAGGTCAGCTATCAATCTCAGACAATATAATCATAGTAGCTAAAACGATAGGAGTGGCAGGAGTGAATAAATCAGACGATGAATGCCTATTTAGGCGATAAATTCATTCTGTTTTCACAGAAAATCAGATTCACACAGGTCAGTTTTGACATTATTCAGCAAAAATAACAACAACACCACTTGACAGTGATTAATTGAATGACACAAGAACTTTAATGGTGATGACCTCAAGTAAGTAAGGACGTGCCTTTCCACTTAAAACAAGGATATACGAATAAAAATACAGAATATTTGCGTATACATAAAATTTAAAAGGTGAACAACTTCTGTTGGTTGTAGGTACTGCTTCCTTTTTTTGTGTGCATTCCTCTCACAGGTCGCAAGATACACTACATAAATATATATATATTTTAATTTTGAGAAAAGTGAATGGTCTATGAGCTTGCCTTGTAACCGTAATTTCCTGGGTTTGAAACCCAAACTAGAATGACACAGCTGTCCAGGACTCTCTGGTTTTCAATGGTTCCCTGACTGATATAAATCCATGGTCAAATTCGATAAACAAATCAAATCCATATAAATCAACTTTTGAGAATATTTAATATATTTAAAACAAGGGGTAACTATGATAAAGCAGTATTTAATGGAGTCATAAATTTCGGTAGAACTCATCAGCTCAATACTCTAAAAGATTTTAAGGTTAAACACAGAATGTATATATCAATTTACAAGTATTTGTGGAAGCAAATACATTGGGCGTACAAAAAGATGTTATTCGACTCGAGCTGCAGAACATTACCTCATATGGCTTTTTAGTAGTCATGATAGCATCCCAAGAAGCTCAACCAAACGACATTTATTGGGCTGTCGTCATAAGGTGACGTTGGGTAAAAGCTTTATAGTTATCAATAAACAAGTGAACAAAATAGCTCTTGGTTTTGCTGAAGCCTATGTAGTCTGAATCAAGAAGCCAGATCTCTGTATACAAAAAAAGACAGTAGTTACCTTAAATCTACATTGGTAACATACTTTTATTTAATCCTGACAACTTTCTTTCCTTTCCCCTTGTACTTACAGTGATTTTCCCATTATTATTATTATTATTAGTTTTCTCAGGATTTGTGCATATCGAAAAACCATAGTTGGGTATTAACCTTGGTGAGCAGTGTTCACACTATCTTATGAGTATAGATCAGACATGTATATTCTTGTATGGTTGACGTATTGGTGGATGGTGACTAGCAGTGGAACTCAAGATGCATATTTCGCCCTATTTGGGACTCTTCATCTGAATGTAACTCCATTCCACAGGGAGTGATGCTATTCCCATCGAGGCTCGAATCCAACGCCAATAGTTTCAAACGCCAAAGCGTTATCTACCAGATCATTTTGGGCCACGAGAGCCACCTCTTGTGCAACGGGTCTTATTAATTATTTAATTCAATTTCTAGATTTTCCCGTCAACTGACTGGACCGAAGTGCTCGGTCTCAGGTTGACATGTCTGTCGACATATGGGAAACCTATTTAATTTTTATCACGAAGATTCTTTGTTGTCACAATGCCCACGTGTTTGTATGTATTTAACCTTAAAAGAAAATTGTATAAATAACGATGTTCGTAGAGTATTCAGCTGACGAGTTCTACCGAAATTTATGAGTTTATTAAATACTGCTTTTTTCACAGTTGTTGCTTGTTTTACATTAAATACGGGAGAGAAATGTTTTCAATGAATATGTAATACCTTATTGCAAGAATAGATTTTGAAAGCAATACTTGCATCTTTATTGAGCTATAATTACAGTTGAAAATAAAACTGTGACTGAAACACAATAATAACAGACGAATTCTGAAATGTTACTAACATAATATTTGCTATAAAATCAAAGACAATTCCACAATAGAATTATTATTCCATCGACAAAATTCATAATGATGCAGTATTATTTGTTTAGTGAAGAAGGAATCGTAATGAAAAAGTTGGCCATAGCACAAATAAGGAATTTAAGACGTCTTTATATTACTATAGATACTATATTAAGAAGAAAGATATCTGAAACCTTAGACAAGATTATTAATAAAGTAGGAATTAGGAAGACATTGAAACCTTTAGACACACTTAGAGAAACCTTTCGTCGGCTTGGGAACCTGACTGGTGCAACTAGAAAACACCTTGTATTGACTATATGGTCAACCTGATGGATCGTAAAAGAGGAAACAGCAACACAGGGAATTCTCCTTTCAAAAGCTCTACTGTCACGCTTCTGTTCGATAGATAATTTATAAAATTCATCAGATTTTGGTAACTGTGTTCTAGATAGTGTTTTACGTAGTGTAAGGGGCAATCTAGAAGGGAATACAAGTTAAGAAACGAAAACTGGTATTACGCAACAAATGTGGAACTGAATTATGTGAATATACATAATTTAAAAAAAATAGTGGGAATATAGTTAGGTGTTTAAATGAAATCTGTATGAGAAGTACAATGTTTTTAATCAGTAATAATTATGATAATAAAAAAATTATAATTATAAGTACAGTAATAGACTAAGTATTAGATAGTTAAATGAAACAGAATTACAGCACTTATGTTGCCTTGTCCATGAAAAGCAGATGAATATATGTACTGCTTTCGATCACAAAGGTCTGGTCTGCAGTCCTAAGTATTCAATGACCCCACTATTTATAAGTGGAGTATTCGAAGCTCCTTTATAGGTTTTTGGGGAACTTTGTTTAGTACTTCATAAAAATAAGACGGGAATTGATAAAATGCTCGACGATAGCACTAAAAATATGTCGTAAATTTCAAACACAGTGACTTTTTCACTTCTGTTACCGTAGAGCAAAGTAAAAAGGTAAACATAGCATCAAATCCGTAAATGTGTTTCGGCATATGACCCGACCTGGTTAACAAGAGGAGAAAAGGATGATTTCAATTTTACACTCGTTAGGTAGCATCAACCTCCATTTCTTAACCCCTCATCCTCTCTTTGATTACCTCTCGAATTAGTTAAAAACGTTATCTAGACTAATAGTAATAATAATAACTAATATTTGAATGGTTTTATGAGTTTTATGTCTAATATAAATGTTACAGTACAGTTTTCGAAAGCGATCCACGGAAAGGAGAATTTTCTTCACTGTTACACCTTCCATTTTATTACTCAGTATGAAAATTTACTGTTCAGGTAGACTTAATCAGTTCATCGGAATATAGGAATTTAGTTGAGTGTAGAATGACTTACCCCCCTCCGAAAAAGTGATCAACTTATAAAACGACTTTTTTTTCTTTCACGTTCCCCAGTGGAACATAGGGCTCCAAGCTAGTGGCTTGAAGTTTCTGTAGCAGTGTTTATTTTTATAGGATGGGTTTGCTGGCCTCATGTCCAACCTTCCCTCTTTACCGACCCTACTACCGGCCTAGCAAGGTAAAGGGGTGCGTCCGCCGGGGATCGAACCCCGGACCACATGCGTAGTCGGTGAGCATTCTACCGCTGTGCCACCGACACACTCATTAGGTACTTAATCATTCCACAAATTTATAAAACATTAGACAAAACACCAATTGTCAAAAAAAATTACCTCATCTCCTTTCATTGGCTCGAAGTGATATTGAACAGGCTTATCAAAATGCGGTGAAGACTTCAAAAAATCCTCCCAGGCATTGATTCGATTAATCTATCCATTAGATAATATAAAAAGAATTCAAAAATCAGTAAACTGAGTTGTTGTTGCTATTAGTAGTGACAATTTCAGTGACAACTATACTTATATAGACTATGAGAAATGAAATTGAACAGCCTCACGTATACACGTAGACATTAACTATGATGGTTATATAATTCTACAAGCCACCTCATATTAAGAATGAATTATTATTATTGTATCCTTTAATTCCTACAGGAACATAGGGCTTCAGCCGTGCGTCTCCATTGAGTTCGGTCCTCTGCTAGAGTGAAAATAGTTAATTTAAAAGGCTCAAAATCAAGTTTATTCGGTTTAATTTCATGCAGGTGTACTTGCAAATGACTGAAATAATCATTTCATGAAACCTACAATAAATCAGTATCTGACACTGCATAAAACATAACTCATAATACAGTAGGTAAATTTTTATTGGGGAGAATAGATTTAAGAATCAAAGGATGCTGAATATTTATTTCATTGTGTTTTTCGAGTATAAGTATTCATTAAAGTATATTTTAAATTCTGAACTACAACATTCCCATGGTTAATCCTTTAAAATCCAGTCAATCTGTCAACTTTTGAACATCACCTAATTATGGCATCTGCAATACTGTAGCTATGCAGTAAAACCACATGAGTGGAATATTTTGTAATATGAAGTTGTTCTGTGATCTGACAATAAATCTCAGAAAGTAGTGTCATTGGTAAAGAAAGATTTTGTTGGATTATACGGTTAGATAACTGTCAGAACGAAGGAGTCAATTATTACTTTATTATTATTGTTTCCTTTAGTTCCTAGAAGAACATAGGGCCGCAGCCACATGTCTACATTGTGTTTGGTTCCCCACCGATGTTTTCACCTGGCTCCAAGTCTACCCACATGCTCTCATCTCCTCCATGTCACCCTTGCACTGACGACCGACTCGTCGCTTACCATTCAGGTTCCATTCGAGTGATGGCCTGGGGTGTTATGTCACTTGATGGATGAGTTTTCTCAGAGTATGGCCAATCCACCTCCATTTCTTCCTGCATATTTGTTGCAGTAGTCATTTAATCACTATTTATTTTGGTCACTCGTCTTAAGTCTTCTCAAAACTTACTAATTATAAAGCAGCAAAAATAAATCTCTTAATCACTTTCACATGACAAAAGTAATTTGTAAAACACTTCGCTCAAAACATGCTTCTTGCTTCTTAGTATCCAAAAGCAATTAGAACCTACAATCTTTTTGGAAATAAATAACTTCAGACTAATTTCGACGTATTTTGCTGTTTATTATACCGAATATCTATCCAAAGGTCACTGCTGATCGTATTTATTTGTAGAATGTTTGAAAAATTGAGCTGCAATAGCGATTACTTTTTACATTTGAATTCTATTAATACACTGAATTCGGTAGCATATTATTTGTTGCTTTTCAATGATGTATTTTCATCACAAGAAGAAATATATTTGCTAATTTCTTTATTCATTTCGTCAGTGTATCTAAAAACGGGGTGTGGAAACTTAAACCATATGCAGAAAATGAGTAGTTGCAAGTCAGTGACATCAACCAATAACAATCTTCCACCAGAGTGAGGTGATGTAAATGAATAACGGTCGACCTCTTCGGACATTCAGAGTTATTCTCACCATTGTTGTGTTGAGAGCAATTCAGCCAACTCAGTGTGAACTATACACATTCTGATTAGCTTCTTGGATAAACTGGTAGAACAAATAATGATGCGACTGACTAAATGGAATTTCATTATGATTTCCCTTGAAAACTTGCAATATTCAGATCATGACGTGTGACCCCTTCGATACCGTAAATAGTTGGCCTTATTGAGTAGACACTAAAATAAGGAATGTCACATAATTTACATAAAATTTAAGATAACAAATCATACCCTTTTTGATGACCAACATGGTTTTCAACACTAGAAGTTCAAGGCTAGAGAAGCAGCACAACTAACTCTTTCCAGAACTAATCATTTTGTGTAAATGTGATTCTTTTAAAGTAATACTATCATCTTTTTTAACCATGAACAGGAATTATTGAAAGTTACAGAGTTACACAAATTTATCTAGTGATCGGTTATTACTAAATAATCCTGGATCTCCATAAATATTAAGGGTGTTTGTGTTAACTATTTGATTCGATTATAATTGGACAGCACGTTCGATGACACTGTAATACTATAAGTGTTAGCTTTATTTATAATAATTGTATTGAATGACATTTATTTAAAATTATGATTTGAAGATCAGAGTGGAACTGCCACAGTGATAGAGTGGATGGGCCCGAAGTGATCCAAAGTACCATACATGGTAGAATGAATGTTTTTGTAGGTCCCACCATTCTAGAAAGGTTGGTTGGATAGCAGTTAAACAGAAAGCAGCTACCATCACAGTGAAGGTTGCTGACCTAATTTTGAAGTTGAAAACTAGTCGAAAAGGATATAACATCAGTAAGATGTTCCCATTCAGTCAAGCAGTAAGCCAACTCTGTTATCTTTCCATTCGGACAAGGAGACATGAAATGTTGGCACCAAGTGAGTAGCCATCTTGTGACACACAATAGTAATGCCTTTTGTTTATCAGGCATTTCAATAAGTTCATGATTTTAGGAAAAAGCTGAAGACTGGTTTCATGCCACGGTACTGTTTTTCAAATATGGTATTTAAATTAGCTAAATGATTTAGAGTTGACATAATTTCGTAAAGATAAATTTTAGCGGTTACTTTCATATATACATAAAATAAATTCGAGACTGTTTTATAGGCTCATTTAATCGAAGAAATGTTGATACAGCCATGCTATCCAGGTCGGGCAATTCATATGTTTAATATGCTGTGACACTGTTTTAGTTTATGGAGCATAAGGGTTGTATGCCATTCTACTACTTATGGCTTTCACCAAGTACATTCAGTAAGTAATAAGTTTATGATACTTCACCCTTAGATATAATGACTGAAATTATTACAACAGTCACCTTCACTATTATTTAGTAAACAAAGTAAATGGACAAACCACTTACTGTACATTATAATTATTTGTAATCTGTCTTGATCATACTCATCTCTTAGGGAATCATTTAATTCCACTTTAATGCATGTTTACGTTTCATTCCAAATGTAATTATTAATCTCCTGTATTGTTTAAATTATGTGGTTGACATTAGTGAAGCATAATCTCCACAAATTGAAATTCTAACACGAACTGGTTGCTACTGATAAACGGTAAAGTTTTAAAAGTGGAGATTTTAAGATTGTGTTACTTTACTTGGTCATTTAGGTGCAATCGACTTAATGTGTCTAGTTGTGAGTTCTATCAACCAAGTTTACAGTGTCATCACCAAAATGGGTGACTAGTACTTTGAATTCATGTTGGGTAGTAGGATGAAATCGACAGGAAGCTGTGAACTGAGTCTGTGTACTTACTGGCACTAGTCGAAATGGTGTACGTGTAACCTTGAAGGGGTTGATGTTCGCTTTGAGATTCAAACCCGCGTCATTCAGTGCTGAGGTCTGATACGTTCCTGTTGAGCTACATGAATTGCCTCATCATTAAGGCATAATTGATAACTAAAAGAAAACACACGTGTTGGTTTGCAGGGATTTGATATAATTGGTTACAAGATTTCATCATGAGCTGGCATTGGAACCATTGGAAAATATGGGAGTACTGAACAAACGTTTCGTCCTAGTTAGGGACTCTTCGTTGGTACGCATCCACTACAATGGTTTAAACTCACGACCTTCCAGTTGCAAGGCAAGCTCGTAGACCAAGCCACTGGGACCCGATCCATGAATCTTAATCTCTGTAAATTCACGATATAGCACGACCAATAGCCAATGTTATCGGAGAGTATTTGTCCCCGCACCCGACCTGCTGTACCCTACTGGTTACGAATACACACTAGAATCTACCTGAATAGAACCAGTCGCTGGCGGAAAGAAAATTATACTCAACAAGTACTGAGATCAGTACTGTTGCTACAGTGGTAGAAAAATATTGAGAAAATCTGTTTGAAGGATGAGGTAATCAGCTCCAAAAAAGACAGTCTGGTCCTGATAACTGATTAATGAGGCTTTTGAAATAAAATAAAAAATTACACAGGAATTTGAAAAAATATCACATACATGTGATGCTTCCTTGAGTAAGGCATCAAATCGTTTTTGTGTATTTGTGCAAAACTCAATCTCGTTTTCACAAAGCGCTGTGAAGGCTTCTCCCATCTTTTCGTATAATTCACCGTCTAATGTCTGGACGAAAAGGCAAGGAAAAATTCTGTGATCAAATTACGACAACAACTTGTAATTACAAGATACTTGTAGTTTATCTTTTATAAACTCTTTATAAATTAAGCTGATTAAAACTACTTGATGCTGTTAGTCACCAAGTGACATCATCTGGAGAGCGACTGAAAATTAAGGAATTCTGTAAGCATGCTTTATCGAAGTTCCGAACAACTCATGAGCATTCACTCATAGATGTTTGATAGCTTGAGCTGTCGGTTTAACATTCAATGTTCCATAAATTCCAACTTCTGGCAATTATATCATCGAATTTCATGTCAAAAGTTTTTGGAAACAGTTTATATTAGTATCTTGTGCTCCATATGTTTTACGCATCTGCTCTAAATCAGATATAGCATATTAATTTATTATTAGTTTCTAAAACGTCAGATAAAAATTTATTTACTTTAGACTTGAACAAAATGGCGATAGTGAACATCTGTGAAGGAGAAAAACAGGCACTCTTTCAACTGAGAGTAGAATCTTAAGAGCTCTTGTACAAAAACAAATACTTGAGCATTTGGTATTTATTGATATGATATTCCAAAAGATAAAATCATATACAGTTTTCCGGCAGATAAATGTGACCAATTAAGAGACATAGTAGGCATGATGGTGTTTAAGAATATAAAGAAGATTAGAGATACAATATACCTTCTGGTATGCCCAAAATCTATCTAATTTCCTTAGTATTATCATTAACATGTTTCATTTAGTCAGTGAATGACTGCTGGATCTAAAAACCAAGTTAATCCATCTTATTTCTCTTGAACTAATACAAGGAAAAATTGCTTTTTACATAGAATGGAATGACAGATCACCCTAACCAGCCAGAAGAGATTACACTTGAATTTTCTCTATTTTTACACAGACAATTATTTAGAAAACAGGTCCACATGAGGATATGATTTTGTTGTAGCAAGTAACGTGTACTGGACGTCGATTCACTCATTGTAAAAGGTGTTTGACTGACTGCTTTCACCATCTGTCTTCAAGGTAGACCAGTGACTTGTCTATCCCGATCAAATTTTCATCTGTCACTCTGCATAAGTAATTTAAAATGTATTCACCATTGAAAAGCATTAATCCCTGTACTGTTTCCTTTGCTTCCCTAATTCTATATGGTTCTCACTTGTTTCTCAATGAATGATTTAATTACCTTGTGTGTTATACTAAATATTTTCTATTTTATTATAGCTTGATTCCACACAGTATTTTGGTACAAGTATGAAATTTTCAGCATGTGATATCGGTAGCCCAAATTTACAGGCCGACCATAGATATCAGGTGTGCGTCGGCAGGGGACCAAACCTCGGACCATGTGCATGGTCGGCAAGAGTCCTAACCACTGTGCCACCAACGCACAGAAAGAAATAAGTGAGTCACGACCAGGCACAGAAATCCCACTCTTCCCTTTGAATTTGAATGAAAATAGTTAGTTGTCAACCTTTGTCCTTTTCAGTACAGTAGATATTACTGCAAACTGCATAATATTTATAACAGCTATCGTGCAACATCAACCTCTGAACCTTATCGCCGAACTGTGCTTGGTGACAGTCTTCACCTTAACATTCGCTTGTTTTTTTAGGTAGAAGCTTACATATAGTCATTTAGCGATTTCTTCCTTACTGAACTTAAAGAAGTAACTGCGTACCTTCTGTTCGTTCCAAAATCTAAATGGATCCGATAGGGAAGCTAGAGATGTGAGAGATAAGGAATTATCCCAATATATTTGTGTCACAATTCACATTGTTAAAGATTATTCGGGTGAGAAACATCAGAAACAAAATCGCATCTGCATTAATATGGTCATGTAAATAAAATTGGAGATATATGACGTTATGAAATTCAGAATGATTAGAATTGCTAGAGAGCTGTATGTCATACGTTGGTAGATTCAACAGAGTATTCAACCTAGAGGGATATTAGTAGGCCAGATATAAAGTATGGTTTGTATTTGTATCTATTCAACATGAAAGCTAGAACAGTTCCCTGCAATTTCTAAAAACAATTATCGTTTCGGACTTTATATATATATATATATATACTATAAAGCTGCTGATCAAGAAAGCACTTTGACTCGCCCCTACCACGAACAACCTCTTGATATAATTTCTGCAGTATTACTGTACTGTACTGTATTGTTGAGAGTTAGTGTGAAAATTCCGCTTAACATCATTCCCAACGGTAAAAAATTTTAAAGGGAGTTAATTACATCATCTTCAACTATTCGTACAGAATTTAACGCAGTTAGCCATAATGACAACTAGATATAGCCAGAGAAGGATTCATGCTTGAAAAGATGTAAATGGTAGTGATATATTTTAATGACGTTTTTTCAAGTTAATATAAACTCTTCTATTGCTTAACAACTCCGTTATCTACCTACTAGCCATTGGATGGTAAAAGGTGTAGCTAATTAACTTTTATTACTAATGAAAGTCTACGTGTAAGGACTGAAAGTTGGCTACTTATCAGGCATTATGTGTTAAGACTGATCAACTTCAAATATAATATTAGGGACGTGACAGCTACATCGGTTATGAGTATGTTTATGTATATGTATATATAAATTATCCAGTTGTTTATTTTAATAAAATTTACTTTTGCTAAAACTGGTAAATCCTCGCTAAAGTAATGCTTTAAATGAGCATTGATTGCTGTTAATTGAAATAAATATTCATTTTTTGCAGTAGCCGATCGTGCATCAAATGCTTGACGTTTACCTAAAAGCTGAAATAGTAAAAATAATAATAAAAGGTAACATACAGTGAGATGAGTACTATTGTTTTTATTTGTTTCTAATAGAGGATAAAAGTATGTTAACAAGTGCAAGATATTCTGATTAGCCAAAAAAGTAATCTTATTAGCCAAGTAGTTGGCAAATCATACTCAAATGAAAATGATTTATGCAGTGAAAAACGGCTATTCCGATAAATATATGCTTGCATTGGAAAACCTGGGAGTATTGAACAACTGTTTCATCCTAGTTAAGGACTCCTCAGAAGTATGCACCCACCGAGGTTCTAACCTAGGACCTTCCGGTTACGAGGTGAGCTCATAGACCAATAAGACACTGGGACCCGCTCCAGCGGCCCATGAATTTCAACTTCTGCAGATGCACGATATTCTAACCAACGTCAGCTGACGATGAGATCCTGTAATCAAGCGAATCAAATCCCTGCAAACTAACACCTAAATATGCACTTCATCATTTCAAAGACGATAGATGACTATTCAGGAGACCAGTTACTTAAACTGCTTGCAAAACTTTGGGACCCATCAAACCAAACTGCAGATCTAGCAGGATAGATGGCGACAAAATTTCTAGTTGACACCAACAAGAAAACAAGCTCGAAGTCTTTCAAGCGTTGTAACTAACCGACCTCCTAAATTTCTACAAACTAAATGTTAATGACTATAAACCCGTAAGTGATTACTTCTAGTAAGTCAGAGATTTACTTGCAGCACAATTGTTTAAAAGTGAATATATTCCACTTGTAAATCAGCTATACGTATACATCACACAACTGGCTGGATTCAACATAGAACTTGGCACCGAAGTGCAGCAGTTCGAGTTGCCACGTTCCAAATAGCACACAAAGGTAGACAAGAAGATGAGTGAAGAGAATCAATAGAGTTTTGACAAGTATAAGAGTGAAACAGAGTGAGTAATGGTAGAAAGGAATATGAGAGATTACAAAGACTGAATACATCTGCATAAGCCATTGACAACGATTTTCAGCCATGTCACCTATTGTCTCCAGCCACTGATTCTTAGAGTCCCGAGGGCCCCAACCCGGAAGTCTGCATCTCCCTACCTACATCACGCAGACAGAGTATATACAATTGGCTTCATATTAACCTACGGGTGAATATACGTGTCTTAACAGAAATGATGTCTATAAAATAGCCTTCACGACATGTACCATTTTTTATCCAAAATAAGTTCTTGTAATCCTAGCGATAAGCTTTCAGTATATTTTTTCCACATATTAGCATATGTTTCCAGTGGATTAACTAGCCAGACTTCAGAATGCTTCCCCATCCACCTACCTCCAAAAAATATAGTTAACATATCTAATATCTTCTCTAAAAGCATTTGATTTCACACGAGAAAATGTATATGATTAGGAGTAACAGGGATAATCAAAAATTACTTGCGATGTAAGGATAGATTAAACTCAAATCTGACTGTTAAAAAGCAAACATAAAACAACTATAAATAAGAATCCGTCATCCGATAATAATCCAGCTAACTGTCTAACCCGAAGTTCTGATTACAATAAATAGATCAAGAATGCCAGATTAATCAATAAAAGTAGCTTGAATCTGATAAAAGTAAAGTATCACTAAAATCTCTCAGGGAGTTTTTTTTCAGCTTTCATATTTGGTAGTGAACGTTTCATCCTTAGACTAAATGACTTCTTCAGTATTTCCTCGTGATCAACTATCAAAGTTCAGAGAAAAGTAAAAAGTCTTGTCTTGTTTCCGAGCTACAAATCGTTTTTTCAACTATTTCTTAAATTATTATCATCAAGATTACAGATAAAAACGGAACGCTTCAATAAATAAATACTACACAGAAACAGAGGCTGACAGCCGTTCTTAAAACAATGCATTGCGATTTCTAGGCCTGTTTCATTTATGCATATTTAAGCATCTAACCAGCATAATTAGTCCTCACACAGCAGATATGCCTTATTGTCTAGCATTGGAGAACATGAGACTGCTGAGTGATATTTCATTTTCATTCCATTACATAGATATTGCGGATACGTAGCATACACATGCAGAGATCAGTAGATGAGTTAGTAGCTAATAGTGATTGCCTACTTGAATCATTGAAGAAAAAGCTGCATAGAGTGTGACTATTTGACAAACACAGTATGTTACATATACTATATCATATAACTGATATTAAATTGCATGGAGGATTTCATCATGAGCTGACATCAGTTAAAGAACCACTGGAAAACCTGGGAGTACTGGACAACTGTTTCGTCCTAGTTTATGACTCTTCATCAGTACGCACCCAGGGCCTTCTGGTTACAAGGATCCCACGGACCCCGGTGGGTGCGTACTGTGAAGAGTCTCAAACTAGGCTAACGAAACAGCAGTCCAGTACTCCCAGATTTTCAAATGGTTCTCTAACTGATGTCAGCTCATGACGAAATCCTCCATGCAATCAAACAAAATCTCTACAGAACCAATACTTGAAAATTAATATTAAATTATTCCTATCAGATGAAAAATTTACTTTTCATAATCCTATAAATGAATAAGTAAAACATATAAATGTGTGATAACAGTTACCTTATCATAATTTTTGTGTAATTGTGCCATAGAATGAAATATATCAGTAGATCGACGCTGAATCCTATAAAGGATAAAAAGTTATTGTATAATTAGAATTTCTGAGTTACTAGCTTGCCGACGAACGGGGTGAAGAAATATTTGCTTTCAATGAGAAATAGGTTCTATACCAGAACGAAACAATTTGTCATAACTTACTTAATAATATCGATTTTCACACGTTAACAAGGTGATAATTAATCAGCAAACTTAAGGATAACAATTAGAGAGTACGTATAATCACAAAACAAGAACCAATCGCCCAACAAATATGCAGGAGAAAGTGGAGATGGATTGGACACTCGCTGAGGAGGCCGCTGCGTGACATCGCGGATCAGACCCTCGAGTGGAACCCAAAAGGGAAGCGACGAGTGGGAGGTCCAAGGGTGACATGGAGGAGATCATGAGAAGAGGAGTTGAAACAGTATGGATTAACATGGATACAGGTGAAAAGTACAGCAGAAGACAGAAACAAGTGGAGACGTGCAGTTGAAGCCCTATGTTCCACTAGGAACCCACGGGAACAATAATTATAATAATATAATCACACTATAAAACTGTGAGAATTAAAACAGGTGACTGCATAGTAAAAGCAAAGCTTGCCGTTTGTGCTAGTGCAGTGTTGGCTGGGACGTTTATTTCTTCAGAGCCAACCTTGCTGACAAGGGTGACTTGATAACAAGGGAATTGAAAGTAGCTACTCTTAAAATATAAAGACACTGAACAATAGTTTTGAAAAGAGAAGTAAGGTGTTTCCCACAAATCCAATTGCTAATAATACATCGAGATACTTATGTCAATAATACGAATCAAGTGTGGATCACTTCTTAAATGGACGTAACATGGTAGATGAATTCAGAAATTATACGCACGTTTGTCTTGATGACAGTGCAAAATTTTTTTCTATTAGATGTGGAAGAATATCATTTACATGATGACATTTCGAACACAATTTATTGTTCATAATAATAGTAGCTCCTCATTAGCTGTGAGAAGACAAAAATAACAGAAGTTTATGTGAATATTATACTATCAAATAACTGATATAAAAACAAGAATGAAATTAAATTTCTGAATGTAAAATACGAGGAAGAGTCATTAGTGGACTACACTTTTAACTTACTTTTCTCTGGCAGCGAGTGTTTTTAAACGAGTTTCTTGTGCTTGTTTCTCTTCCTCTGCATAAACTTTATGTGACTTCACCATTTCTTGAACACATGCAGCGAGATCTCCCTAAAACCATGAAAATACAATTAAGGGAAGTATTGTAAAAGCCCATACAATTCAATATTCTGCTCCGACAGTTTCATTACAGTGATACTAAACATAAAGTGACTGTATGGGATTAGTAAAGTGGGTGGTTCAGAAAAACAAAAAAGTATCAGCGATTAAATTCAACCAGGCGGCTTCCAAATTATCGTTTTGTATCCATCACACTATTCATGAACAGTGGCGAAGAGCAATATGTCTGAACAAAAATTCATTAAGAGAAGAGAATATCTATCATGTGGTGTGGCAGACTAGCAAAGAAGTCTGTGAGGAATAGCAACAAACTAACCTTTTTTCTCATATTCTATCCACACACATGCACACACATGAAGGGTTGCACTAATGTGACGCGATACACGTGTAGATTACTCAACTGATGTTAAAGAATTAATTCAGGATATCCCACTGAATATCAATAACTATGCGCATTGTTGAAGAGATAATAAGTATGCTGAAATAACAGATATTGTCTGCAAATTATAGCTCAAGAAATATTGAACATCTTAATGTTAAACATGTTATACTTTTTCTAAAATATATACATCTAATATATACATTATTTATGATATCCTACAGTCAGATTCACAATCATCTTAAACCATAACTTACAGATGTTATCTCATTTCTGCTTTTAGTTTAATAGGTTTTCTTATCTGAAATGTTTTAATGCATATCTCGGTCGAAAGCTTGTTGCATTCCCTCACTCTTTACATCGTTATTAAAAACAACTAAAGTATGATCATTTACTAGTATAAATCCTCGTTGAAGTGATATCCTAAAGTATCCTGTTTTTTTTTAGTGAAGTTAAATAAGTGGATTTAACACAGATTATATGATAATTCCCTAATATCTCTTCTCTGTAATAGCTGTCTGTAAAAAAAACATGCTTACAATAATTCGTGCTCATGTAATAAATCGAAAAGGAAACAAAAATGAGATTCTAATTCAAGACATAAAAGCGCAGCATTTAAAAAATCTGAAATTTAACGCATATACCACAAGTTTCTAATAGTTTAAACAGCATATTGCATCATTTTATGTTTGAGGAATAAAATGAAGCTAACGAACGAAAATGTTCGAAACCTTTTTGTTTTATAAACAATAGGGAAGTAAGGCAAAATAAGTATACACCATTACCATTTAAAGGTAAACTTTTGCTGTTAAGCACGAATAATAACGAATAAGAAACATTCACTCCTGTTATAAAAAGCTGCTGGCTAAAAATGAGTGAAAAACAAAGTACTCAAGACAAGTGCTCTGTTCTAGCTTAGGACTCTTCAACGGTAAAGTCATAGCTTAATGTTTCCAGTGGAATATTATAGAGTTTCAAGCTTTGGAGTTTTAATAGTGGTGATGTTGTTTTTATAAGATGGGGTTACTGGCCTTACTCACAAACTTCCTTCTTTTTCGGACTGACTATCAGCTGGGTGAGGTTTAAGAATGCATCAGCCGGGAATCGAACGTGGACCTCCCACGCAGTTGGCTAGCCCTCTAGGAGTAAGCCAGCGATGCAGGATTGGTCCTATAAACTGCATTTTATTTATTAGCTATTCACATAACATTCCCGTAGAAGCCGGTGAAATGAGAAAGCACTTAGCTCCACGAATGTTTTTTATGGGAGTTTGTTTGTTCACACGTACTCATAAACCAACTATTTTTAGAAGTAGCCTGCTCGATATGAAAACAATTTAATTAATCTATACAATGTGTAAAATCTGTTCCTTTTGTCACTTGTATTATAGTCATAAATTTTGCGATATGACATTAAGATGAGCAGTTCTGTTAGGAATAAATAGACTTCAATGAATCTACTTATTTGGTATCACTCACTGAAGCACAGTGGCCTCATTGTCATCCATTATTAGAAGCTACACATTTACTTGGTTTGTGTTACAGTGTTGATCATGATAATTACTTTACAGGTGATCTTCAGTTATCATTTCTGATGTTCAAATTATTTTACAGCTAACTGCTATGAAACAGACAACGCATCTATGCCTAATTGGGTAGACAGTTGTCGTGTGTTCAAAGCGGTGTAAATATTTATGTTTCTCTTAAATTCACACTTTTTTCAGAATTGAACTTTACCGTTTTGGTTACGTCACGTTTGATGTACTAAAGTTTAATTGGTAGTTTGGTCAGTTAATTGTTTTTATTTCAGTTTTATGTATTGAAATATTCACTAATACATTACAGACACAACTTGTCTGTGAATCTGTTTGTTTCACATAAGCTCTATAGCTCCCATTTCAGTGATAAGAAAAACAGAATGACAGTTACGGCGCTGAAAAATTCTCTTCTCGATCAAGTCATCTGTTAAGTCAGATATTCGTAAACATATGAAAAAGGTGAGAAAATGTCAACATTATTTCTGGTTAGAAGTGAAAACAAGTTGAATAACCTAATGAATTCACATAATACAAACATAGATTCAGATTGGGAAAATAGACAAGAATTAAGGGGACAAACGAGTATATAATAGGCCACTAATTAAGAGATGCAACACGTTTTACTGACCATGATAAAGACTAAAACGTTTGGACGTACATTTTAGGCAAATTATCGGCTTGAAATTTTCGATGGCTAATGTTTCAACTACACGTGCATGTCTTGATCTGACTGACTTTCAAGAAGAGTTAGGAATTCTTAAATAGAGTTTTTATTTCACAAGGTGTGCAGTTTCCGAACTAGAGACATACTTTCGCTCTCCGTTGACTGATCAGGCTGAGTAATGTTCAGGAGTGTTTCACTCCTTCAAAAGGATTTAGTGAGTCTCATTTTGTTTTCCCTACGTTTATTGTATATGAGGTATATTTAACAGTCTTACTTACTTTAGTTGAATTTTAGATTTTCCCGTCGATTGATTGGACCGAAGTGCTCGGTCTCAGGTTGACATGTCAGCTTCTTGTGCAGATGCTTCGACGATGTCTAGGCATTTAATTAGTATTTAATTGGTGGATGGTGACTAGCAGTGGAATCCAGGATGCGCATTTCGTCCTATTTGGGACTCGTCATCTGGATGTACCTGCATTCCTCTGTGAGTGATGATGTTCCTACCGAGGCTCGAACCCAATACCTATAGTTTCAAACGCCAAGGCGTTATCCATTGGACAAAATGCGCATCCTGGATTCCACTGCTAGTCACCATCCACCAATTAAATACTGATTGAATGCCTAGACATCGTCGAAGCATCTGCACAAGAAGCCGACATGTCAACCTGAGACCGAGCACTTCAGTCCAATCAATTGACGGGAAAATGTAAAATTAAATTAAATTAATATGACCAGTTGCACAAGAGGTGGCTCTCGTGGCCCAAGTGGTCTAGTGGATAACTCTTTGGCGTTTGAAACTATAGGCACTGGGTGCGAGCCTCGGTGGGAACATCATCACTCGCTGAGAAATGCAGGTACATCCAGATGACGAGTCCCAAATAGGACGAAATGCGCGTCCTGGATTCCACTGCTAGTCGCCATCCACCAATTAAGTCTTATTTACTATTTACTTGGTTAAAAATATATCTGATTCCTACTGCGTAGGTGGTACAGTGGTTAGGACTCTCGCCGACCATGCACATGGTCCGGGGTTCGATCCCATGCCGGCGCACACCCCATATCTATGGTCGGCCTGCAAAATTTAGGCTACCGATATCCATGCTGAAAATTCCATACTTGTACTGAAAATACGGTGTGGAATCAAGCTGTAAAATCAAAAATTTAGAAAGGCGATTGTCTTTAAATGAATAGGATTTATAAATACTGTCTTGTTTCACTCATTTAAATATCAAGTAACATTATGCAAAGATACAATTCCTGATTTACAGATTCCACAATGAATACTTCCATGCTTATGAACTGACTGTATTAATTTTGTTTTGTATGCGAGATAATTAGATGAGACGGTAAATTATTGAAATGCATTTCAAGAGTTTTTCAGAATACATAATAAAAAGTTTGATTAAATGGTGGTTTGCATTCGGACCATTAAAAGAAAATTGTTTCACGCTGTCCTAATCATCATCTAGTAGACAAATTTTAAATCTACATAGGATACTACAGAATAGCATTAGTAGTAGAAAGTACTAGATCTGATAAGCGAAATTTGCTACCCATATCAGTGAAATTTAAACACCAAATGACCAAGTTATTTTCAAGACCGGGTATTCAAACACTTTCACTACAGTAAACAGACTGATCGAAATCATTTAAATTCCATAAGCCACAAACCAGTCCTTGGTATTTTATTAAACATCATACTGCGTAAGTGCATGGGATTTTCACCAAATATCATACTCTACTGTTTTACATAAACTATTCTTAATATTAACCTGTTGCTACAACTTTCGAATAATCTTTAGAACTACATAGCTGTGATGCATGACGTTGGAAGCTTTGAAAGGTTCAATTATTGTTCGCTTAATAAGATATTTACTTTTTTAGATGAACCAATAAAAGTAGATAATTTGATAATACAACATTATAAAAATTATGAAATTTTTCAAGCATAGTAATGAGTATATTCTTACCTGAAGTATTTTCAGTTGTTCAAATACGCGTTTATTAACTGATAAACGTTGAGATTTTAACGGTTTAAGTTCATTCGACAATCTTTGCTGATTATCTGATGCACGTAATCGAGATAAAGCTAAACTGTTCGACTCCGTTAATAATGAATGCCATATGTGCCAAACAGTTGGCTGTTTGCTAGACCTAAAGAGATTCATCTTAATGGGTGGATATATAATTACTTACAGTAGCATATCATTCTTTGAAGATGCAGACGATACAAATTCTTTCTTAGATAAAAAGCTGTTTACAAGCTTTTGTAATGATTGTCCATATTCGCGTTCAATGACTGCTCTTTGTTTACAGTACATTCTAAAACGATCAAGACAATAATACTAAATGTATAGTGCTTCCATTAATTTGTAAAGCAAGACAATAGGTGAGAAAAAAACTCTTAATATACACAAAATTAGCAGTGGAGTGCATCTATTATGTGCAGGTAGACAGCTACATATGGCGACATTAGTCTTGCTGCGTTGAATAAGTATACAAGCTGGAAAGCATACTTTTAGAACGAGGAGTAGCAGCTCTGCCGAAACAAAATAGAGATTGGGAAGTTAGTTGAGAAAAAGTTATATTTCACCTTGTTAAATTACTGTGAACATTTATGTAATTCAGTTTTATTTATATTGTAAATTTTGTGCTTACTAGCGTCTTCAAAGAAATCTACGAAATAATGCAACTCAATCGCCTTGCATTATAATCTACGATAAACGACCGTATTAGACTTTAAACACGCACACTCACTAGGGTTAAGTTGTTAGTAGAGATGCTGGTTGACAAAAGTTGAGGAGCTCACTGCTACATACAATTGTGGTTCCCTACCTCAGACTCAAAGTGCAGAGAGGCGGTGTTTTGCTTTTGCTCGCTTACAGAACCGCTCTTTTAGTTCCTCGTCATTAACGGACAGCTATTATCGTCATCATCCACTCTACTTTAATGATTTATAAATTTTAAAGTGATAGTGTTAGAGCTGTTATTTTGTACTCCTAGCTGTTCTATTTATGTTTATGCTGGCCAGTTTTAATCTGAATAGCTTCAGCAACAGGTAAACACATACCAGCCGACTAATTCCTCTGTCAAATTTCTATTATAAGATTTCAAAGCTTAGTTTATTTTCTTAATCTGAAATACATTTATATGCCTTTTCTATTCTTCGTCGTCCAGCGTGCAAAACATAAATAAATTCCCCTCACTTTCTATCGCAACTCAATGAACTGTTATTTTACAGTACTGGTAACCTGATTTCATTTCATTTGTAGAACAATCTCTCCCCTTTCATGTTCATCAGAGTACTCATATTAACTGACAAGACAATGAATGCATAGATTTGGAAGAGGCACTAACCACTGTAATAAAAATGAAGAATATTTTGGATATCACCTAATTTCTGTTTGGAAAGCTGACCGAAGCATACAGTATGCCCATTGCAATAGTCATACAATTTTGAAGAGTATGAACATTCTGATTGTTAGGACATGATTGAGGGACATTTAAGTTATAACACAATAATAAATGCATAGTTCGGTACGACAGTCACATAAGAGTCATTCAAATTTAAATAACGTCATACTGATGCAAGTCAGCACATTCATCAAGAACATGAATGTATTCTAATAAGCAATGTTGTTTTCTGACATTATATTACTTCGAAATTCAAGAATTGCAACCATAAAGTTTCTTTCAATCAGCTGTCATTACCTACTGACAGAACTTTTCTCGATAACATTATAGGTGTTGATCCATTTTATTTCAAAGACAGGTGCATCTCATAAAAAATTTCGAAAGGTTTATGCACATATATATGTATATACTTCACGAATTCTCCTGTATTCATCAATTATTGCAGCCAAGATTTAAGAGAATTATTCCAGAGTGAATCATTTTAAATAGAGTTTGCCTTAAATCGTCAAAGACTTTCACCAAACTAGTTGGTCATTTACAGGTGACAACAGAAGTAGTAACCCAGAGGATACATCTCTTTAAAAGGAAATAATTTAAATGCTGAGAAGTTATGGCTTATCTTTACAAACAAGGTTTTAAGACTTTTCTGTCTGAAAGCACGTTACAAGCGTAAAATTACAAAAGTGAATACGGCTGTGTTAAGTTACCTCAAGTCATCCAACAAGTCAGTTTCTGTGGCGTGTTTATTCTGAAGTTTAGCGTAGTGTTCATTGTGAATATTCTTCAGTTGATTGAGCGGTTTCATTGGCTGTGTAAAATGTAAGAACAATAAGTGATAAACAATTTACTATAATCTTTATCAGAAACTGACATGATTCTTTTTCGGATTTGCTACTTGTTTGAGGAATAGTTAACTTAAAATGAATGGATTGTGAAAACCAAAATATATTCAGCAAACTTAAGTTACTGAAAGTATAGAAGTACGAGTTTACAAGAGCACAGGTTTGTAAAGTGTCAGTAACGAAAGACACCATAAGCATGATATTAGAATAGTGTGTTTCAGTCCTGAAAATAATTGTCGAAAAATGTGAGATAAATAATGTGCTTGCTTTCAAAAGATAACATGACCTAAACAATACGCAATTCAGATTCTAGTAGCATTTTACTCGCTATCATACTATAAAATAAAAGTATAGAATCGTTTCTTTATTATTATTAGCCAAGATTTATACAAAACTACTCACAGAGTAAGTATAAATTGTAGTTATACTGTAAGAATTTATACAAGCAAATATTTTTTGCGATACAGGACGTATTTTCACAAAACAGAACTAGTATTTATTTCATCTGCATGACTAAAAATACGGAAGTGAGACAAAAGCATTACACGTATTTGTCGAGCATTTTAGAACAATAAATAGAGTTACATGACAAAACATTACACTTCTTTGACTCAAAGAACATCCCTAAGCAACCAGAGATGATTTTCAGCTACAAAGCACGAAACTTTGGGTACCTTCATAAAAAAGCGAGCTGTTTCAATCAAAATCTGAGTACATTTATGTACGAAATATGATCATGATCATATTAACATATACAGAGGGAGATAGAGAAGGATAGTCATAATAGAAGCAAATTTTCTAAGCAACCTAGCTGAGAGATTGTGCATGGAATATAATTACTTAAAAAGACCTCGCGTAAACAGCAAGCAAACCTTAAACGTTAACATTAATTCCATCTCACATTATTTGGCTTTGCAGATATGCTAAGTATGAGAACGTTTGCGAAATTACTGTACATACACTCCTTTGTAGAATTTTTACATGTATGTTGAATCATAAAAATAATATTTCCACACAAAAAAACTTCATTTTCTTTTGTATGTGTACTGACTAGTCATAAAAAGTTATTACCTTACGTCCAGCATAATTCATTGTTCGACCTTCAAGAAACTGTATTCACCCACTTAATGAGAGCACAACATAATAGCATGGACAAACAAAAAACTATTAGAAAAAAATGGAAACAAATGCTACAGTAAATGAGTGTTAATCTATATCCAATAACTGTAATTTTACTATTTATAATATGCACGGACAATCACAGTATATCAATATCTATTATCAGTTTGATGAGCTTATATAGGTCTTATGATTTTTTGGTCCCATTAATTGTTGTTTGAAACAGCCCTACATCTTCGGAATATTTCACTACATACTCAAATCCCCGTTTCCGCAACCTTGCTTGATGAAATTAAATGAGTTCCACTAATTTATTTCAGAATGTGTGCTTTGTGCCATTGTAATGTTTCTGTAATGTTTCGTTTCGCTATGCAATAATTGGTTAGGTAGGAGAATACTCCAGAGGAAGTAATGGTAGTCAGGGTGAGGGAAAATCTATAGAATGAAAAGAACAGACTTAAGACATCGAAGCTGGAGCCAAAAATTTTGCGTGAGCAGATAACAATATGACCAAGCGTGCACACAACTGAAGGAAATGAAGAGAACTAGATAAAACCGATGGATATGGAGCTAATGATAAAAAATGCAAAGAAGTAGTCAGGTGTATGAAAAGCAGGTCGAATATTTGTTATAACAATGCTGCTAGTCTACTTCTTCTGTAGATGCGCAAAATCCAAGTTTTTCGCCGTACGAACTTCTCTTGAAGTCGTCGATTGAAAGACTGGTTTCCACGTGCACAACTAGTGAATTTTGGCTTGATACTTCGAAAAAATAATTTCCAGCATTCGAATTAGCTAACAATGTGTAGAGATGCTAAAATACGCTGGTAGGTCGTTATAACGCATTCATCGCCTTTTCCTGGAAGGGATGCTATTCAAAATTAAAATATTTGTGGACCCAGTATAGACCCTAGTCAGAGTTTCGGAAACGGATAAATGTCGTTGTTAGATATGCCATCATTGTGAGCTAAACAATTAAAAAAGACAGCTGCAAATAAATGCATTATCTGTCTAGTTATTCCACAATTATTCACCATACAGAAACAGGCTGTGATTATTACAGTTATGGTCACTAACTTGAAACTTCTGAAATTTCGCTTTGCTGACACCGAGCTGTGTGTATGAAACATGTTTTCGACTACTTGCTTCGGACTGCTTTTCAGATTTGAATGTGACGTACGTATATTTGAGTGAAGTAGACCATAGAAAGTCATTCAGACCATGGATTAATTCTAACAGTTAATCGCATCACTACAATAATAAAGACAGTCAGTTCATATTTTCACCCAAAATCATGACCATAACCTAAGTGTTCTTAAATAGATGGATAATTTCTAAATGACGGACAATGAAACAGTTAGGCTACTACGCATGTGTGTGACGAGATAGTTGCGGATAGTTTCACTAAGCATAATTTTTGGTGGTGAAATTGCCATAGACATGTTTGAAATAAAAAAATAAAAGCATTTGGGGGCAGACTGGAAACTCACTAGTCACTGACATCATCGAAGTCATAAAAGCATGTAGGACAAGATCAGCTGAATGTTTGAATGGATTTCAACATAGAACCTTACATAGCAGTCTGCTTGCTCAAGTTGTCACATTCCGTAACCCACAAACAGGAAGACAAACTACAAGAAAGAGATTCAAAAGTACCATAATAGGCAGAAAGGTGAAGAAGAAGTAAGAGTAACATGGAAAAAATATGATGGTACTGTGCTAATTACAGAAAGTAAACACATTTGCATCAATAAGAACGACCTTTGGCCCTATCTTCGACAATGCGAAACCATCGGTACTTGGCATCCCAATGACGCCAACCAGTCAGTCCACACATCCCCAAGTGGATCAAAGCAAACGTCAGAGTCCTCTGGACGAAGTCTGGTTTGGGTTTGACCACCCATTAAACCTTCCCAACGTATTATGGCGACTTATATCGCCAAAATCTCAAGTTTTGTCCTGGACATCTCAGTTGATGTAAACTTCATCTACCTACATCCCCTCTTAAGGTAACACTGCACCTGACCTCAGTATAAATCACTATAATAAACCACTCACTACGAAGATAGAACGACAGGTAGCCTTGCTATATCCCCCACTTCTAATGACCAGATTTGGCAGCCACAAATTAGGTCCAGCTAAGAATTATCATCAATATCTGCAAATGTACCGAGTGAACCCATCATATTCCACGAGAAAAGTAACTGCTATGACGTATCCACACATACCAACTAGCACATAGTTTGCTGATGTGGCCGATCAGGGGTTTGCCAAGATGATCCTGTAGAGGATCAAAGACGTTTTTCCCAAGTATTTGTAATCCATCCAAAACATACTTGGGTTTTTTTTGTTAATGCGAAGACAATATTTCTATATTTCTTGATGTGCTCCATTGAATGATTAGTTATCATATTGTTTCCATAGACAAAATGACTGCAACCTTATAATTTTACCATGAACCAAATTTATGTAATTTAAATAATACTTATCCATGCCTGTACAATTGGTGTGTCCTACACAGGTAGGTAAAAATGTATTTTATTAAATTACTATTAATAAATATGCTTACTAATCGTATATGTAATTTATCATATTGATGATGCCTGTAAACTGGCGTCCCTCATGTAAAAAATGAGAATGTACTATTATTATTATATGAACCTAGGCTCTTTTACCGTCAACGATCAATTTGGTTAAACCTGTGGATTGCAACACATACTGTTCAGAGACATTTTAGAGGGACGAGAGCTCGGCAGCTTCGTTGTTTTGTGATTATTTGCTTGTACATACGCTTCAAATCATCAACAACGCAATCTTCTCAACAGTTACAACTTTTATATTCTTCTTTCGCTAGCTGGAGTGGTGCTAAGAGCAGCCTGTCCACAAGGTAAGTGGGCCAGTCCAAGGAGTCATCAGATTTTAGAGCTAGCGCCTAGGTCTAGCAGGAATGATAGTCACACATCAGCGTTATATCTAGTCGAAACCATTTTGAAATGAGTTCGAAATCACTCAGTTAGCTTAATCAACTTGCCTCCCTGAATATAATTCGGCAATTCCAGCTGTGATCAGGCCAGTCGACCCCGTGGATTTAATGCAGATTGTGAGGCAGGTCAGTAACTCAAAACATTTGAAACTCAACATTAGGCCGATTATTTTACCACGTTTACGACTTTTAATCTTTTTAATCATCACTGTCTCAATTTGGTATGATCCATTCGAGAATTCCATGAGTCTGCACAAATAATTGTCGCTATCGACAGCGCTATTCAGTGGCTCGGAGCAGGACCAATCACAGAATCGTCAAGGTGGTTGAAGGAATTTTTTCAAACGGTTGATTGCAAGCATCCTCTAACACAATACAATTTAAGGAGCGACTTTATTGCATATCCCCTCAGTGACGCTTGTTGCTATGTTGCTATTGGTTTCAAGTGGCCTTGGTTTTGGGGGAAGATTTAACTGATGTAATATTGTGATTTCATAGACATAACTCAGGCTCATACTTGAAAGAAAGTTATAAGCCTGTGATAAAGACAAGTTGTTCAGAAGGTAAGGAGGACGTTATTTTTCAGTGTATTTGTGTATATACTATTATGCATCGAGTTGCACTGAGTCCTTAGTGCAACTGTATGTAACTGTATTTACATAAAGTGAAACATTACGAATGCTTCTGCTTTTAGAATAAAAAGCATGATACTTCTCATCAAGTTTACTAATGAAGAATGGAATTTCTTCCACGTCAGTGTTATTTAATTGAAGCTGTTATCTGCAAGTTGCGTTATTAATCTGAGCAAAGGCACTTTAACGATCGGAGTTATTTACAGAAGTCCTGCCAGCCAAGCTGATGACTTCGTTCTAAATCACTTGAGGGCGTGGGGTAGTAGAAATAGGTGTCTGGTTGTTGGCGACTTTAATGCTCCACACATTAACTGGGGGGAATTAAACTCCACTAGTCTGTATACCTGTTTCAATAGGGAGTTCACATTGACAGTGCTTGAATGTGCACTCGTGCAACATATGCATGCACCAACACGGTATCACCCGGAACATGATCCATCTACTCTAGATTTGATATTAACACACCAGAAGGAGGACGTTGGTGACATTAGGTGCCTTCCACCGCTTGGCAGCAGTGACCACATAGTCATTGCTTTTATGTTTAAGATTCATTCTCTCATACACAGGTCAAAATCTGCTCGTCGAAACATTTGGAAAGCGGATATACAAGGAATTCGGAACGCAGCAACTTCAGTTGACTGGTCAGTAGATACAAGTCGGACTGTCGAGGAAGCTTGGGTAGGATTTAGAAATACACTAGATTGTGTCACTTCACCTTTTATACCTTGGTACACTCCTCGAAAGCTATCGCACAAGCCACCTTGGATTACTAGTGAAATAAGGGGGCTATTAAGACGGCGAAAGAACTTATGGGACCAATTTATTATGACAGGAAGGGAAAATTTCCAGAAAGACTACCGCAAAATTCGAAATCTCTGTAAGTATGCGATTAACAAGAGTCGTATAGAATATGAGAGGCGGCTTGTGCTAGATAGTGTTCACTACCCAAAAAGGCTTTTCTCGTATATTAAACGTAGGACTAAAACTAGCAATGGTATACCGTCACTCATAAGCATTAGTGGAGAAACGGCTGAGTCAGACGAAGGAAAGGCTGAAAACCTCTCTGAATACTTCTGTGACGTCTTCTCGTCTGATAGTACCACCCAGGGATATGGCGGGGTTACTGCCGTCGCCACTCAGATGCCCTCAATTGTGGTAGAGCACACAAAAGTCCTCAAACTACTGTCTAAACTGAAACCAGGTAAATCACCTGGGCCTGATGGACTTCACCCTAAATTATTAATTTCCTTGGCGGATATAATATATATTCCACTCGCGGAGATTTTCCAAATGTCACTGACCCAGGCTAAGCTACCCAGGGACTGGAAGGATGCCATTATAAGCCTTATATTCAAAGAG